GTTGAAAAAATTGTGCATGCCTGTGGGAGGAATTGTGCATTTGAATGAGAATTAATATGCAGTTACAGTAATGGTTTATGTTCAAGGGGTTATGAACTAATCTTTACATCTTCTATTACATGTACAGGATGTTTGCCCATTTGGGAAATTTTTGTGACAAACATGATTATTTCATAGCTTGGCATCATAATTAAGTTCTCTTGTACAACATATTGAGAGTAATTTTAATAAAATATATTCCCATAACAACATGACTAGTCATTGATGAAAATGGTACTCAAATGAAATAAAATGGAAATGATTTACTGTCCCTGTTATATATAAATGCAAATTCTTCATGTATAAAATACAAAGAGGGATTTTGAAAATGTTTTTAGGGCAGAAACTAGAAAATTCTTTTATTAAATGAAGATTTTAACCATTAAATTACAGGCAGTAAAATTAATATAAGTAATTTTAGCAACAAAACTACTGGCAAAACTGGATATATCCCTAATCATCAGCTTACGACAGGATTATGGCTTATCAGGTAAATGCTGAGGAACAAGATATTTCCTGAGGTTTCATGGGAATTATCTTCTTAAAATATTTTGTGCAAGATAAAAATTTGATGTAATTTAGATTTTAAATTGTTTTGTACTGACATTGTCTAGGTTCCTACCAGAATTTTTAAAGATAAAAATAATGTTTGCATGTGTTTCTTGGCAAACATTTGGAATTGTTGTGTCATAAAAACAGTGAAATTTAAATATTTACCACCATTTTTCCTACACATAAGTTATTTCAAGACAATTAACTATTAGCATAAATCCACACTCTTAATACATGAATAGTTATCTCCCTTTAAATTCTATTTTCACTCTGGCGGAGGTATTCTTTTTTCGCAGTTGAACTGCATGATGTTCTCAAAGTGAATGTTAAAACTTAAAACTGTTTAAAATAGAAATCAAACAAGGGCCAGAAAGAAAATGGTCAAGGTATTATTTCAAGAAACCATGATTTGAAATGATATTTTTTAGAAAAAAAAAACAAAAACAAAAAAAAATATTTTCTTACGTTTTTACAATAGGGGGAAAAATACTATTTCATGTACAATAGACAAAATAACTAGTTCTTTTAACAACATCAGCTTTTGCAAAGTCATACGCCTAAGGAATAGAGAAAAAAGGAATATATTGATGATAAATTGGAGATTATTCCCTTGCCAAGTAAAAAATCATTAATATTGTAAATGGTATTATTGCAAACAGGGGAGCTAACTTTATGGGTAACTTTGGTTTATCCAAACCCAAAACATTTGTTGGTTCAGTTAATGCTTGGTTGCATCTAATTCTGTCTGTAATACAAAGTAATGGCAGGATAATGCAATCCTGTAAGATGTGGTGTTTTTATCTCTGCTACAGTGTATAGGTTGCAGTTTTATTGCATTGTGGGTATTTTTGAAAACGGTTTTATTACATCAATAAAAATTTATCTCTGATATGTGGCTGATGAAGATATTAGTAAATTGAAGGATACCTCTTACATCTTCTTTGAAAAAGTTTAGTCATCATTTGAATATGCAAGAGCCATCTAAATTTATATGTAATTTTTCTACTGTTGAAGGTGATATTTTTGCAATGTTTATAATTTTCAGTAACAGTGTCTAAACTGTAAACATATCTTGGACAGCAGTTTGGAGCCACTGCTACAACGTTCATAAATATTTTGAATTTTGCAACATGTTGAGGTTTTGGCATACACAGATATTTGATGAAATAGAACATCTGAGAAAGTAGAAAATTTACATACATTTGAATATCGGTCGTATCAGTTTAACCCTTTAAAGGAATTGTGTTCCATATTCTATTTCTACCATTCCATTTTGGGGATGATACGGAGTTTTAGAAGTTCAGTGTTCGATAGATAATGCAGAGTTGATTGAAATAAAATATTATTTTTTATAATAATCTTATATATATATAATCATGAACTCATATTTTGTGTGTGGTATATTGGTTTGAACAATTTATCATCAAAGATTATTGGATAATTATTTAAGCAGGGAACAGTAACCGGAGTTTTTCTAGTGCGGGATCTCTGACTGTATTGATACTATCAGTATAAGAGATGATTTTTGATGAGTGGAATATTAATGGGTAGTTCATATTTATTAATGTCAGTTAGCTTCATGCTAAACGTCTGCTGTCCATAAAAATAAATATCTACAGTCCATAAATAGAATAAATGTAGTTTTTAGTGTCTTGGAGATGAAAAAGATATGTATATTTGATGAAATGAATGGAATTGATATTGATATTGAAAAAGGACTTTTTCGTCGAAAAATCAAATGAATTCGGTAGGATAAAGTTTTGGAGTAATTTTATATGTTAAAGATCGAACCAGACATATATATATGTGATAGTCATACAGTGTTACTGAAAAAAATACTTAGAAAAAAAAAGATTTTTGAGAGTGTATTGAACTAAGGGTGTTGTTGTATTACTGAAAAAAATAAAATGAGTGGGGAATCGAATGAAATGCCGAAGTTGTTGGCTGGTTGGTTGTTGTCGTCAAAGTCGTACGACACCGATACCGATGATGATACGATAGGTTCTGACGGGGAATGTCCGTTTGACGTAAGATGTTCAAATTACATTATAATGTTGTGCGGTGAAGACGTATTCATTTCAATAACATTAATCTAGTTATGTTCAAAAACATTTCTTTTTCATTATGTAAATATTATGTAATGAAGACATATTTAATATGTATTGTCCAACAATATTGACCTGGCACTTCATTAATTTTCGGAAAGGTCATTTGAATAAACATTGACTATTACCTATCGAATATATCGATATATTTGCAAACTTCACTCGTCAGTGAGTTGTGGTGTATTGGTATAGATGTCGGACTACAGATCTGATAGTCTCTGGTTCGATACCTAACCAACACCACCTTATGATTTTTTTTGAAATTTAATTGCAAGAATTAATTTGAATTCGTTTTACTACACCTGGTTTTAGAATACCTTTTAAGTGGTGTTTTTATGCATAATTATGTCTTTTATTTCATAACAGTATCTTTCAACGTTTTTTTTTTGTGACATTATGCAAGCGCATACATGCTATAAAGGCAGTTATTAAAAAGTCTACATAGAAAGTACACACAATAAAAAGGTTTTCAATAGTTTAAAGAGTTTCGCAATTTCAAAATTAAAATAAAAAATAAAGCGCTGAAATAGGATTCGAACCTACCAGTCTACGTCTACATTCTACAAGTGAAAACTCTTTACCAACTGCGCTAAGAGGGAATTTTAATTTACACCATTTTAACAATTGGATATTTACATTCATATCGATTTACAAGTAGATCGTAACGTTTACGGAATATACCGACTACAGGGTCAAATGCAAGAGTGCCAGGTCAATGTTGTTGGACAATATCAGCTTGCAATTATTTCACTTAGAAAAGAAAACATTTAAAAAACAATCTTTGTAGTCAATATATTTTTGTTCCATAGATACACATTTCATGTGATGATATTGTTTTTATTTTATAAATCAGGGGTTTTTATCAAGTGTTGTACTTGTGTTATCATGATTGATAAGCTTTTAATTCATCTAGATAGATTATTTACCTTGATATATATCAAGCATAGAAATGCATGCTCGCAGAATGCATGCAGATCCCCCCTCCCACTCCCTACTGAGTACCCATTTATCATAATTAACTTTAGAATATCTTTATTTATAGCTTTTTTCCAGTTATTTTTAATCATCAATTTATTATCTTCATTGAATATATCAATTTACTTATATATGTTGGAATAAGTGGTTATTTTTGTATTTATATAGAAAAAATGTACATGTTCTTGTCAAATTGTGTATGTTTTAATGTTACATTGTAAATATTATTAGTCATTAGTTACATTGTAAATAAGTCATTAGTTAGTACTTTGTTTATTAAATATAAGCTGTATTCAACATGGAGGTGTCATGTTAAAAAGTACACATATTATTTTTATGTTGATGCCAATTCTCTCATTTTAACTACATTATAAGCATCAATATTTATTTTATATTTAGTCTCCCATTGATAAGAATGATAAAGTTTTAATAAGAAGCTGTTATTTCATGACTAGTTTATTTATATTATATAACATATGTTGCATTTACCATGCCTGTTTGTTGTTCTCATGCCAAAACATGCCTCTGTAACGAAAATAAGAACATTCTGCATGGTGTCATCTTGGTGGAGGCTACGTGAACTTTACACACCTCACATAGCTCCCATTTCCTATCCCATGAAAATTAGTTTTATTTCTTTATATATAATTATGTCAATTTCAAATTTGATAGCAACTTGACATTTTTGTTCCGTTCCAAGAGCTTCATCATTGATTATACATTATGTAAAAAAGCATGTCTTGACATTAATTATCATTTAATTGATCCATATGGTGTAAATTCTTGACATTAATTGTCATTAAAGTTATATTTATACTTGACATTAGATAATCTACATCATTTTACAGACATTTATTATGACATGAAAGAGTATAAGATAGATCATTCCAGATTATACTTGACATTTACTTCATGATATGTAACCTTGATTCTGGAAGTTATCACATGATATCTTGACAGTTTAAATTAGAATATCATATGACATTATCATATAGTTTATCAATAATCTTGACATTTGGAATTATCACATATCTTGACATTAATCAAAATATTTTATGACATTATCATATTGTTGTTAAACAAAAATCTTGACATTGTAATTACCTCATATCTTTACAGTAATTAGAATATCATATGACATTATCATATAGTAAAACAATAATCTTGACATTGGAATTATCACCTGATACCTTGGCATTAAATAGAATATCATATGACATTATCATATACTTAATCAATGATCTTGACATTGCAATATTGTCATTGGATTAAATCATGACATGAAGATAGAATTGACATTCACGGGTGTATAATTTTCTGTATTTTCAGGCGCATGTTGTGGCAGCGTTTGAGCAGAGCCTGTCCAATATGACTCATAGACTTCAGCATCTAACAAGTACATCAGAACAAAAGGTAAGCTCACAATTAATAACTAATTAGACAGTCCATAACTTATACCACATATCTACCCAAATGGACACGTGTACAAACGTGTATGCGACCAGAGCAGATCCAGATCGACCTGCACATCCATGCAGTCTGGTCAGGATCTCCACTGATCACTTTTATTCATAATTTTTTTTTAAAAGCAAACGATGGAGATCCTGATCAGACTGCATGGAGATCCAGGCTGGTCTGGATCTGTGCTGGTCGCACATACGTTAAAACACATATCCATGATTGTGGTAAAGGGTTAAAATTATTGAAAACAGGATGTGATTCAGAATGCAATCTTACGTAAATATACATCTTTGTCATATGACAAATTCATTTTTAGTTTTTTGCAATCTTGTACATTTTTACTGCAATTTTCTTGCAACACAGTGTCAGTCAGTTTGCTAGGACATACTGTTTCATAGATTGGCTGGAATCTTAGCATCCCATTAATATCTTATCTCCCATGGTGCAATAATTAACAGTTAATAATATATGGATGCTAGGACCTTAGACAGTCTCCTGCATTATTTACAGGCAGACAAATTGATTCAACAATTGATATCTGGATCTAGACACAAAGCTCTCCATTCACATTAAAGAGCCATAAATTCAGCTTGAACCCAACATATAAGGCAAGGAACCAGTCGTAAAATATGACAATGTCATTGGTCAATCTCTCGTTGTCCCTAGCAAAAAGGTTTTAGAATGGTTCCCAGCTTCAATTCATCATTAATGTCATATGCAACATTACGTACCTGAACAGTCTAAAATAGTTAAGAAAAATAGTTCTTTCTTAAAAAGAGGCTCTTTGAAGAAATTCTTCAGTCAGGACATGTTGTTTATTTTATGTGTTGTATAATGTTGCTAGGCAACTTGGTACATATCACCCATATAATCACTATGATGTACCCAGTGGTACCTGTAACAAGACACATTTTGAAAGCCTGTTGCAAAAGATAATTTCTCAGTGGTGATATTTTAAATAGGAAAAAAAACTATTCTTTTGAAGTCCAATTCCGAGACATGATGTTCTGGTAGCCTAGTACAGGTTACTGGTTAAAAGGGCACCTGTTGCAAATGTCAGTTAGTACATTTGTAATGTTATTCTGCCATTGTACCTGTACATCTTTGTATGTGGTTGTTGAAAATAAGAGAAGATGATGAAGGAACCTCCTGTTGAACTCCTTTATTTCTTTGTATAAGGCATAGCTGATTTCACATTTTGACATAAGGTTCAGTTGTTTATATTGATTGGTTTTGTAAATCTAGGATTTTTTTTAAACAATGGTGTTTTAAGTATAGCAATTTGGCTTCTAATTACTTTATAATGCACAAAAGCCCCCATGATTAGTTTGGGACAATTCCAATGTACCATTTGCAGTTAATGTTTACTTCTTTATTTTTTCTCTTTTATTTGTAATACTGTTAAAGCATTTAGTTGCTCAGTAAATATTCCTTTAAAATGTTGTGAACCTAAAAAAACGCGCAAAATCAATTTATTAAATTTGTATGTTTTGTAATTGACCCATTTATGATATTTCTATGCTAGAACAATATATTACTATATAAGAGAGAATATTTGTGTTGATATAATATAGCCCATGACTCATCACCAATAATGGACTGCCAGAATACTTGGAAAGCTTATTACCTAAATGATCAATATAGCAGTGGAATTCATCTCCCTCATATTTATCATTACAAACATGACAAAGTCATATCTTTTTCCAATGGATCAAACTTTTTAGGGAGTTTTTGTTCCATACTTTATCTAAAGAATATTAAAAAACTGTCTATTAGTTTAACAGCTGTAATCATTTTAAGCACCTTCTATTGCTTGCAAGGCAAAAATCAATAAAAATTGCACGCAAACATGTTCTTTTTTTCCACATCTACCGATATGGAACAATTTTGCCCACTCTGCTCTGGAAACATAGAGAAAAAAATATGAATAATAAAGGTTTCTGGATTGACTCTAATTCTCTGTATGTCTGCAAGTCAGTAAATGAGGATTACAGAAATTATCTCACACATATTTTGTCCTTGTTTATTTGCTAGTCTGTCATTCTTCCGAAAATCCCTGTGAATACATTATAGCTACCCATGGTTATAAGGTCTGTAAATATAATCATGATTTGTATCTGTAAATACATCTAGAAGGTTCCCCCTTCATTATCCGGTGCTGATTTATTACCGATAATATTTCTAATAACGTCTATATAATAGACATAGTATGTTCATTTTTTAATTAGATAAAGATTAAATACAGTACATTAACCTTTCTACTGAAGTCTATATACAAACAAGTTTTTAAATTAATTTATGGTTAGAAATACATATTTTAAACATAATATCAAAAAAGTCATACAATTTGCATGTTAACTTAGTTCATCAATTCTATTTTCTCTTAAGATATGGAAGAATAATCTGATATATCTGTAGTAATATTTTGTCATATTTGATGTCATGTTGCTTGCAAAGTCTGTATTAAGTATATTGCAATTACTGAATTAATGTATACCAACTTTTAAATAAATCATACACAAGTATATTTAAAGTCACCAAAAAAATCAAATGAGAGCAAATTAATTTACTTGATCATGCATAAAATATTAAAGTTTGGTTCTTGCATTGACCATAACTTTTTCTGTTTTGGCAACCTTATAAAAAATTATAAAAAAAAAGTTTTTGTACAAAAAGATATTTTATTAAAGATCTGATTACTTTTTGTTTCTTCAAAAAGATGGAACACACCTTCATGTTTAGTACTATCATTACCAGGGATCTTCTGGAAATCTCATTGTATACAAGTTTAATATAGCAGTGGAATGTTAGGTAGATTGTCAACACCATCTTCTATATCATAAATCTTTCCAATGAATAGACCAACTCAACATCATATCTTATAAATATTTACTTTTTTTTTTCTTATTTGAGGCTTTTCAGAGCATTTTTTTTCAAATCTTTAAGAAGAGGAGTATCATGAACTGTTGCAACTCTTGCAGCTCTTGGTCCAATTCCTATCCGCTTTATTGTGTAAATCTACATGCATAATTTATATCTTGAATCAATTATGTTTGAGGCAATGCATATTCAGAGTTTCAGAGCAGTTCTGTTGAAACTTGCAGCTTTTACTTCATTGAGCGATGGTTTCTGATTTGAATTTAAGTGCTTTATACATGTATAAAAGTATAAAAGTCTTACCTTAAGCAGTGGAAAAAAGATTCATTTTTTTCTTCTTTTAAAATGACTGTCTTGCATTTTTGCAGTTTTGTTGAAACTTGTGCTTAGGTGTAGCAGGCAATTTGTTCCAGACTTGTATTTTAGTACATGTACAGAAGTGTCACCTTAATTAAAAAAAAGACACCGAAAATGCAAGAAAACACGAATTTTTCTTCAGAATTATGTGTAAGGCCATGTTTTAACATGGGAAAACTCAATTTTCTGCAATTCCAAGATTTTTCATCATTTTCTGCTAAGCAATAGTAAAAACAGTTTAAAAAAAAATCTTTAGTCTGATATTATGTTTGTTGCAAAAATTGAAACATTATTATCTTTTTATTTAAAAAAAAATCTAACAAAAACAATATGTGTTTTTATAATGCATTTTGGAAAGGAGACAGTGATCTTCACTCATGTCAGTCATTTATTCTCTTCCCATAAAAAGCCATTTCTTGTATTCATCATGTTTAGTGTCATTCTTTTTATCTGAATCTTTTAGTACCCTGTTACAGAAATTCTTCAGGAAAAATTTTAAACATCAAGACATAATCATATTCTACAAGAGAAAATTTTTTCCTGTAACCAATAGCCGAGGAATATTTAGGTCGCTATTAAAATTTAATGTGGTAACATTGTAAAAAATTGCTTTCCCTTAAATGATGTGAAAGCTTCCTTTAGAAAAGTTACTCATGTTTTTGTCCTGTTTTGACTTCAGGTTTGTCATTAGTAGTATGAAAGTCTCTCAGCCTGCTGGCAGCAACATATTTAGCCCATGTTCTGTGCCATCTGATCATGGTCTGCACTGGTCGCTTTAAAAATATAATTCAGATATTTCTTATTTTGAAATTTGTCCTACTAATGATGAATGATTTTCTCCAGATTGGAAGTTGGAAAAATTCATTTAAGAAATTAAATGTGATAATAAAGGTTTTCATTGTCACAGGCAATAGTATTGGATCTGGTCAGACTGCACAATAAGATTGTTATTATTGTAACTTATGCTAAACCATTACAAGAAAACTTCTTATAATCAGGGAAGCAGGTAAAATAATCAAACTGTCTGCAAGTAACAAATTACTGACAAATAACAGAACAGATGCTTGTCTACTAGTCTAGAAGACAGGTTTATTTCCTAATTCATATAGGGGGTGGGGGGTTGAAGGGGGGAGGTAAGGCTGATTTTATTTAAGGGAAGTCAATTCTTCATCATTGATACTGTGTATTTTGTAACAGAAATAATAATTAGACTAAAGATAAACAAGGGAAACCAGTGACGTGGCTGAGTGGTTAATGCTAGTAATCTTAGGATTGCTGGCCACATGGTTTCAAACCCCATTAGGGACAAGCCGTTGTTTCTGTGAGCAAGAAACTTTACCCTAATTGCTAATCACTGGTTGGTTCCAGGAACAAATCAAGAGTGTTTCAATAGCTTCCAACACAATCAAATTAAAATAAATTAAGTATAAACTAAGGGAAACCAGCATTCATGGAACACAGGCCCCTCATTATCTTGAAGCAATGATACCCAAAAGGACACTGAACGGGTTGGGGAAAACAAAACAGGAGTATATGTTTCCCTGTGCAGTTGTTAGGAAAATGAATAACCTTTCTTAAAAGCCTAGAGCGACCAGGACAGAGTGAGCATATTGTATCATCTGAAAAATATATGTTCAATTGAGTTTCATTAAACCCAAAAATTGTAACATCTAATTTGAAAGCAAGACAATTTCTCTATTCAAACTCTGTAGAAAAACTTTGAAAGCAGTAGGGTGAAGATAAAATATAAATAGAAAATTTCGTTATCATGATTTTTATCTTCTTGCAAGTGGAATTTCCTTCTTTAAAAATACCCCCTCAATCTAACAAGGATCTGTTTTTCATGCTTTGTTGGCTGAAATAGACTTTCTTTGTCCCTGAGGTAACATTGTGTTTCATAGTTTGTGAATGTTGACTTGTTGCTAATCATCAAACCTATATATATTGCTGTGCTCATATTGTGAGAAATGTTTCCTGTTAATGTAAAACAACATATAGCTGGACTGTTAAAGTACTTAATTAGCGGAATTTTGCTAAGAATTGGAATGCCCCTTGTGGTCTCTGGTGACCTGAGCAGGTAAACAGACCCTGGCTTCCTATAGGTTACAAGTTGGTAAAGCACTTGTGTCTATACTAACATTTACACTGTTAGTTTCAACCTAGATGATAGTGTATATTATGTTGCTTTCATCTTTTATGATCTGTAGTAAAGATAGGAATATTTGTTTTGCCGACATTACATTATTATTCATAATACACTGGCCTGCCTGGTTATTATTATTACAACATTTGGGACGGTTACTAATGATTGGTATATTATATAATGTATGATGGAATCTAACATTACTTTTCTGGCACTTTACAAGTAAGCTTGTGCTGTTTTGTGGAATTTAGACTTCCCTTGATTTTTTAGTGTTTTTATGTGGCAGATGCAGATTTAATTTGATTTGGATTGGCACACAAGATTGTGCAGATATTGAAGCTCTTTCTTTAGCTAACTTTCTGAATTTATTTTGGATTTAGTTTAATTGGAAAAGGGTTGGAGTACATTTGATTTTATGATAAAGGAATTATATAGATTTTTATTTAATCAAAGTTATTGAATGCCTGTATAAAATATAAGGTAAGGCTTTTTGATTTTTCATGGATTTTATATATAGAAGGTTGTGAAATATTATGAAATTTGTATTTATGCCTGTTTGTCTAATTAAGATTCATATTTAACCTGAGTATTTCATTAATTAAAATATTTGTATCTAGAGGTAGGTAAGGTGCAGTTTTAGGTTAACAAAAAATTATGTAGATTTTGAGTGCTGTTTATTTTAATTGCAATATGTGGTTTTCTTTGGCTGGGTGACTCAATATTATAGAAATAATTAAGTGTTCTTCCTGTTGTTATGAAACTTTTTCTGTTAGATACAGTTTCTTTCTTGGACAATTGTATCCATTAAGCAACTCTCAATTTATTTTCATAAAACCATTGCCAGCCACTGTTTTAGACTGGATGTGGGTTTGAATTCCTTCCATATCATGAAGTTATCCAGCAATTAAGCTTTATGGTTTCTTGAGTGCCCTTTTGTGCCTTAAATATTGAGCATGGTCCATTGTCCTTTGTGTTTTGCTATTAAAAATGTGATAATAAGAGATCTTTGCCATCAGTCTTAAAACATATTTTTCCTGTTGCAAAATTTCATCAAATGCAGCAATAAACTTGAAAGTGGCCCTATGACCATTGTTTACTATGCCAGTGAAGCTACCAAGTTATTAATACAAAGTCATAATGACAGATTGTGCCTTTAATATATCCATTGTAAAATATAGTCAAGTCTTACTTTGAAACAAGCAAAAGAGATTGTTTGGACTTGAAGTCCTAACTTACCTGCATTAGTACTGTTACAATCTTCTGTCATTTTCTATATTTGATTATAATAAAGCTATTGTTTGTCTGCAATTTAAGTTCTCAGTGATATGTTTACGATGTAAACAACTACCTGTCTTAGTTTTAATAGCCAATTAGTGTTTAATTATATTCCTAAAACATCATGTTTTATTTATACAAGTTGGCAACAAAGAAAAATTCTCTAGACTTCCCTGTTTTAGGTAAGTTCTATGAAGAACTTGTCCTAATTTTGCAGTGACAATTTTCAAACTAAAGCATTCAACAGTCACATTCCTTTCTGGTTTACCTGCACCAAAGTACATACTGCCATTGCACTTAACTTTTGGCACCAACTTGTAATTATCATTAAATAATTAATGCTGGATATCAAACTTATTTGATATCCAAGATGCAATGTTACATTTGATTTGCCTTTCATAGTAAAATGGATTTTCTATTTTAATTCTTATACCCACACTGGAGGAGGGGTTGCATAAAGATTTGTCATGCTGTCCGTCTGTACACTGACAGAAAAATGGGATGTAGGGCATATTTCTATTTTTTATATGGACTTTTTTAAGAATATGGAGAGCTAGTACTTGTGTCAGTGACGGTGTCACTGATTTGGTTCAAGTTGGTAAATCCAAAACTACTGTAGGGAATGGCTTGTAACTTCACACACAATGTTCTCTATGATTACCTTACATGATTGACACAGGTCCCATAACTCTTGAGTTTCCTTTTTTGCAGAGTTATGCTCCTTTTCTTACTGTCAGTCACTGAGAATAGTAGAGTGTGCTGTCTTACGGATAGCTCTTGTTCATAAGTTTATTTAGAAGTTGTGTCCCTTGACTGAAACATGATACATTTATTGTCTCGGGAAATGCTTTCATATTCATTTAATTTATAAAACCTTTGCATGCAAAGGAAGACAGAAATTTTGATTTGGCAGACTGTGCAATAATTACCTTCTGAGATAACAAAAACTGAACAAAATATAGTGGCTACGTCAGGAAGCTCCAGGGATTCCTGCTTCCCTCGTCAGAAGAAAGGAAACAAACTATCTCTTCATTCAATGCCAAAATAAATATTTGGAGATGAGCAAAAAATAAATAATCTGTAATCCAGCTTTTATATAAAAGAAACAAGCAGAGTTGTTTTGCTGTAATAAAGATATTCAGATATCTTTAAAGTCATTCAACTTATTTCAGTTTATGGGGATGATAAATTTGGAAAATATCTTTCATGTTGACTTTGAAAGTTTGTTAAGAAATATGTTACAATTTGATAGATATCATTTTGATAAAAAAAATTAAAAGAAATTGTTCTTTTTTCTTTGATCTTTGGGTTTTAATGCTAAAAAAGTTTTAGCACCTCTAGATAAACATTTTAAAAAAGGTTGCTCTAGTCTTGAGTTAGCCTGATGATTGGATTTTGTTGGAATGGTTACAATATACATTGTAATGTAATAAGGGTGGGATATTAACAAATTTTCACCAAAGAGCATGTTGTCCTCTGTTTACCCCCACCCAAGAAAAAAAAAGAAAGAAAAAAAGAAAAATGTATTCACAAAGAACTTGCAATGCAATGCAATTTTTGAACTTGCCTTTTCAAGCTTGATGAGCTTCAATATCAGGAATACAACAAGATAAAAAAAACATGTACATTTGTTTGTATACATGTTCATGACAGAATAATTATTGTTCCATCTAAATTCATGCTGGATTATTTTCCTATTTACATATATTATTGATGGGGGGAAGTAATGTATATTACCATTTGGTGATGTATATCAATTAGTGGAGAGCTTCTCTAATTACAAACTATAGTGATGTCCCAGGATAGTAGAGAATAGTTTTTGGTAAATAAGTAGTAACACTTATACAGTATTAGGGTATTTGATGTTATTATTTTTACATATATATGATATACTTTTATAACCAATCAATATACTTGATGTGTTTTTTGACGTATCAAGGTTATATTTGTACATTAAGCAATTATCTCTGTGGCTATAGAATGAAGCCTTATTTGAATGAAAACGAGGCTCTGTGTCTCGATCAGTTTAGGTATATTTGTACTTGCGTATCGATTCAGAGGGTCAATGCATGAATCACTGTCTCAGACTTACAACAGTGTTGTTTATCTTTGCTCCTCATTCTCAATCAAAATTACGATATCACAATTTAAATAATTAAGTCTAGGAAAGTATAAATGTTTATTTCAATCGTCTGAATATGTGTTTTCTCCCGAGAATATTTAAGATTGTTTGTTAGTTTAATTGTATGTTTTGTCTACTTCCAGGATTCTGAATTGAATGAGTTACGAGCAACTATCGAAGCATTAAAAAGACAGAGTGGTTTAAGTATACAAGAGCAACCACTAAATAATGGCGGCAATTCTGGCCGACGTCACACGACCCCGGGGATGCTGGGTAAAGACTTGAACGCTCATCATGTTCATGGAGGTAGAGTGTTTCATACACTCCCAATGCCGACTGGTAAATTCTGCTATGCTCCTTCTCCACTGCTCTCATCTCATTTTCATCTTTTATTTTCCTCTCATCTGTCACCTGGCAACTCTCATCATCTTTCACTGCATATCATGTAGCTAGATGCAGATTTAAAATGGAAAAAGACTTTGGTTGGTTCATAGTTTATGTCCGAGTACTGTAACAACATATATATTTTGCACAATCTTTATCCATTGGTTTGGAAACGTTGTAGTATAAACATTTCATTGGTCAGATTTTACATGTCAAGATCATGCCTTTCATTTAGATAGAGGAATCAGGAGACTGGTTCACAAACAATCATGCTCATGATGCCATGTGTTGTTTAATGTTGTTGTTGTTCCACATCATCAAGCACCTGACATCTTTGCTTTTCATTTTTCTCTGGTGTATAATGTTTTGGTGTTGTTTTACTACACTGTTTTGTTTAACAACACATGGTCTTATTTACATAAAAAAGTTCTTATGTTTATTGTTTAGTGTTCCAACCCCACACAAATTTTGGTGTGTTTTTTGCCTTTAACAGTGAAACAATTTAATTTATGTAATTTTGAGGTTTATTCAGTGAGTTTTAATGATCCTTTGTAACAAAATACTTATCCTCAAAAATATAAGAAAATCAAATATGATTTTGATTATCATGATTGAGCCTCGTGCAGTTTTCTTTGATGTTTGAATTTAAGGTCATGAATTATACAGTACAAAACTGGGTCACATGACATATACAGTACAAAACTGGGTCACATGACATATACAGTACAAAACTGGGTCACATGACATGAAAAATGGTGTCTAGACATGGTATAAGTCTAGCAATTGTTGAAGAATAAATAGTTAGAGAAATACTTATTGAAATAAATAATGGTATATTCTGAGACATTTATCATTCCAAATTTCCTGGCTGGCTTTAGACTCGGAGACTGTGAAATTAGGTAGTGTAAATGTAGAATACCAGTCATTATATTAGTATGTAATGACTAAATAGCAAACAGTGCAGACCATGATCAGATTTAGGCACAGATATGCTGGCTGCTCTTGGTCTGCACTGGTAGTATAGGTAGATAGCAGTCTTATTATAGTTAGTTCAGGTGTCTTAGAAATACAAAGTTTTATTTTATTTTATAAGACTTTGAATTTTATGGGTCATGACTTTTGTTGTATAGTAGACTTGTAGTTGATATATAAAGTCATCATTAATTTCTTCTCTGGCGTGGGTTCGATCTCCGGGAGATGCTTTGGTAGTTTAATGCGGAGGAAGGTAGTCTAGTACTGGTGTAACTCTCCAGGAGTGATGGTTAGGAAACTACTCGCCTATATGACTGAAATACTGTTGGGAAAAGGCGTAAAATGAAACAAACAAACAAACATTAATTTCTGCTATCAATATTACTTATCAAAGGTTAATGGAAGTATTTTCAAAACATCTAATAATGTGCCTCTGTAGATAAGAAAGTTTCCTTGTAAATTATATAAAATAAGGTTTTTGCTATACTGTATAGATTTATCAAACAGCTCCCCATTACAGAAATTAATATCCATTTATACCCATTTATTACATAAATGGAAAAACAAATCTTTGAGACTGGAAGGGTTTTCTTTACAGATCAATTGTGCCATTGTAAATTAATGGCAAGCATGAAGAAAAACTGAATGCAGGGTCTTTTTCTTCTGCTAATTGGAAAATTGACTACTATGATCTTCTTTGATAAGGTCTACTTGTGAAAAGTGGAAAAGTGGCAATTAAAAGGCAGAAAAAACTCATTTCTTGAATAATATGGCAGAGTATAATTATTAAAGTAATATGGCTGTCAGAAATGTTATCAAGTCATCAAGTTTATGTGAGAGAAAAAACAGAAAAAACTTGTTTGTCTGTTTATGAAATATAACACATGATAAAGATTTGAAGTGGCTTCCGGATAATGAGTACAATAAATGGGAACTTTGCTGTTTGGTATCTCCTAGAAAACCTGGTAAGATTGCAATTAAAGTGTCATTTTGAAAAATAGATTTCAGTCAGTGAAATATTAGAGAAGTATGAGTCACTTATTTCGATAAAATTGAGAAATGATTGAAATTGAGAATATAGTTAATGTTTTGACATATATAAAATAAGTCTGAAGAAAACAAATTTCACTCCGGAAATATAGTAGTAGAAAAATAGATTATTACTGGCAATAATAGGTTTTCAAAACAGGGAAACAATAAAAATTGTAAATTGGCAGGAATATGCATTGCATAAAAAGTGGAATAAAATATTGAGTTGAAATCAGTAACATAATTTTATGAAAGAAACAATAAGGGAAATTAAATGGGGAGTGGGGAGGCATACAAAAATGTGTAAATAGAATAATACTGAAACAATAAAATTGAAAATTAGCAACAAAAGCTGCTGATAAAAATTGACAGCTCAATATAATTGTTAAAAAGAAATGCTTTTCATATGAAAGTTTATGAGAAAATTATTATATGCCTGCCATTTTCAGTTTTTTTACTAAGTAATGTGCCAACTGCAGGTTATGACACTCTTTGTAAGTTCATTCTTGCAATGTCCCACATCCTTATGACATAAGTCATTAACAAAATGTCTGCTGTCATACATTCTAAATGTTTGCATCATGGTAAATGGAACTGCTGGGTCTGTTAGCATGAATTGTCATAAATAATGATTAAGTTATTTAGATGGCAAGTGCAAACTGATATATTTTCATCTTTTACTCTGGTTGCAAATATTGCTTCATGCTCAATGTTATTATGATCCTAGTTTTATCTTTTTGAATTTCCACAGTTTTACAATAGACAGTATGTCTATTTAACCAGATAAAACAAAATAGTAAAAAAAGAATTGGGTCAGAATTCATTTTCCAAAGCCATTTACTAGATCAGTGACAGTTGCTCCATCATCATTGATTGGGTGATAACATAACAATTGTGTTCCACTTTGTGAGTGCCCTTTGTGCTGAACCATTGTGGGTGCCCTTACTCAAACTTGTGTGGAACCATTGTGGGTGCCCTTACTCGAACTTGTGTGGAACCATTGTGGGTGTCATTACTCGAACTTGTGTGGAACATTTGTGGGTGCCCTTTCTCAAACTTCTGTAGAACCATTGTGGGTGCCCTTATTTGAACTTGTGTTGAACCATTTTTGGTGCCCTTATTGTGAATGTCCTTGCAAATTTATATGAATCTGGAGCTTATTTATATGAGGGACCATTTGATAATGTAAAACCTTAGACAAGGTCCCTGCAGAGATTTCTAAGTTTCTGTCTTAATACAGAAATTGATGATGGATAACTAAGAACAATTGTTTGGAGAGAAATATGTTGGACAAGATCTACAGGGTATTTGATCAAATTTAACTGGGAACACATTGCTTCAAGAAATTATTTTCACTTACAAAAAAATCAAATGATTTGGCTGTTTTACAAGAAATATAACAGCATCTGTAGATATACAAACTATTGTAGGTAATCACAAAATCTTCTATAATGTGTGGTAGTTGTGTCATATCTACTTGTAAAGTTTTCAAGAGTTTTTGTTTACACTTTAAGATTATGAAGTGTAAGAAAAGGTGAATGATGGGGGAATAAAGAAGAAAGCGATTAATTTTTCAGGCACTCTTGATTGACAGATACGTTTCGTCTACTGATTAATGTTAATATGAATGATTAGAAACATAGGAAAGTTTTATATATTAGATATTCTAACTTGATTAGATACAGGTGCTATGAAGAATAGGTCTTGCTGCAAAAAACAAAAGAAGTTGTGATTCATATGAAAAATATTGGGAAGTGCAATCTTTGCACACACAAAGCGCACACAAAGCGTGCAATATGTTGACACACAAAAAAAGATTCCACAAAAATCACAGTGCCAATGTAAGAATGTAAATTAGAAATGATAAGTTATGCTGTTGTACATAGTGCTGAGATTTTTTTAAGGCAAAAATCAGGACTCCATTGCTGTCAGAGAGGCTGCACAATTTAATTATCTATCATTTCATGACATGCACATTATTTTGGAAATTCCTTACATTAACTCTATGATTGCTTCCAGGAATAAGTGAACACTGTATTTTCTTTCTTTTACTTTTAGTATTTCACTAATAAATAACAGTTACAGAATTAAAGTATATTTAAGGGATATTTTTCAGATTTATACACTTTCTGATATTTAAGCTGATGGTTTGGGTTGAGTTTAGTATGCTTGAATTTATTAAAAATTGTTATCGTTTGTAAGAAAGCTATAAATGTAACATTATTCAGTCCCTGTGTAATTGTAATTTAAAGTTCAGAAGCTTCATTGTAATATATTTAATAAAGACAGCAAGTCCAGTACTGAGAAGCCACAACTGGCTACAAACTCCAGTGTTTATGCAAGTAAACACATCCTACATTGACACAAGTTTAAAGTAAACTTTTGGAAGTAATTTTTATCCATCAAGTGGTGCTATTTATCACATACCCATGCTCTTTTGCAACTTCGTAAAAATGGTAATGCACAGATGTGCATATATTTTGATGGGAAGTCATTTGCGTTATACAAACAAAGTGTAAAGATGCGCTAAATGTTAGTGTCCTCTTAAATGGAAAATAGCTATTATTTTTTTTACCATCCTCCAAAGACATGAAACAACTACCACTTTTATAGGCTTCCAATGGGAACTAGAAATGGATGTTTCAATAATAAATATATTTTGGGGCATAATACTTTATGTAGGTGTGTGGCAGGGGTATTGTAGAAAGATGATAGGAGTTATTATTATAGTTTTGTAGCTGGAGAATTATGTGTACATGGAGGGTGGTAGTAGGGGTATTGTAGGTTGGTAGCAGGGGTATTGTAGGTTGGTAGCAGGGTTATTGTAGGTTGGTAGCAGGGGTATTGTAGGTTGGTAGCAGGGGGTATTGTAGGTTGGTAGCAGGGGTAATGTAGGTTGGTAGCAGGGGTATTGTAAGTTGGTAGCAGGGGTATTGTAGGTTGGTAGCAGGGATATTGTAGGTTGGTAGCAGGGGTATTGTAGGTTGGTAGCAGGGGTATTGTAGGTTGGTAGTAGGGATATTGTAGGTTGGTAGCAGGGATATTGTAGGTTGGTAGCAGGGGTATTGTAGGTTGGTAGCAGGGGTATTGTAGGTTGGTAGCAGGGGTATTGTAAGTTGGTAGCAGGGGTATTGTAGGTTGGTAGCAGGGATATTGTAGGTTGGTAGCAGGGGTATTGTAGGTTGGTAGCAGGGGTATTGTAGGTGGATGGCAGAAGAATTGTAGGTTGGTAGCAGGGGTATTGTAGGTTGGTAGCAGGGGTAATGCAGGTGGATGGCAGAAGAATTGTAGGTTGGTAGCAGGGATATTGTAGGTTGGTAGCAGGGGTATTGTAGGTTGGTAGCAGGGATATTGAAGGTTGGTAGCAGGGGTATTGTAGGTTGGTAGCAGGGATATTGTTGGTGGATGGCAGAAGAATTGTAGGTTGGTAGCAGGGGTATTGTAGGTTGGTAGCAGGGGTATTGTAGGTGGATGGCAGAAGAATTGTAGGTTGGTAGCAGGGGTATTGTAGGTGGATGGCAGGGGTATTGACATATTATAATAATGATGATTCAGCATTTTTAGAATCAATATTTTTGCATTGAGTTACCCATATGCTTAAAAAGTAACCACCATAAAATATTAATCTTATCTTAGTAGGCTATCTCGAATTGATTCGTATAATTTCCGTATAATTTCCGGGACAGAAAATATGATAACGATAAAAGATATGATAGTATATGTGTATGTTTAATGCTGCTATAAATTTCAACCTTTTTAACTTGTTCAACAAAAAAATGTAGGAAAAAGAAAACATATAGAGCAAATAGATAATTGCTTCAAGATTGAAGTGTAGAAAAATGAAATAAATTTGTGGCACTTTGTGAATTTCATATAAATGAAAAGATTTTGTGTTTGTTAGAAAGGCATTACTTGGATCTAATCAAAGATTACAATTAATTACTTTATTTTTTATTTATAACATTTCTTAGTGTAAAAAATTGTCTTGTTCTCTGTTGTATTTCTGTTCAATTCTATTTGCCTCACTCTGTTCCCATTTTCTTGTTTGGTTCCCATTTTCTCTACATGGTGCAATTCCTGAAACCGTATACTAAAATGTTCATAATTTGAGATCAAAATTAATGTAATATCCTGTAGTGTGACATTGTACGTGTCTGTCTGTCTGTCTTCCTGTTTATAATGTTCCTAGCTTCTATGCTTCCCTTTATATATTTCCAGTCGGTAAAATACATCCCAGTGTGGAACCTACCCTTATTGTTGTAGTTTAATAAACATTATATTGATATAATTTATTTTAAAATGTGTAAAGAAATTAAAAAAATAAATGAACTTAAAAGTTTTTTAACTCTTTCCATGAAAACCTTGATACTACACTGTGATTGGAAGATAATTTTTAGTGTTGAAAAATATTTAAATAAAAGCATTTTTAAATTTTGTTGAATTTTTATGAAATTTTTTATGAAAGTTTTTTTATTATTATTCCAAATTGTATTTAATATAATTGTTGATTTCATTCATTATTGTAGAAGGAAGTCGAATACAGCGTCAGATCTCGTCAGATTCTATGTCAAGTATAAACAGCATGTCAAGTGCTTGTAGTTTCTCAAGTCAACAATCTGCAGTGACGGACATCGAAGCTGCAAAAAAGAAGAAAAAGAAAGGCTGGGTATGCAATTATTTAGTTTTATTTCATATTATGTAAGATTATTCTCTATGAAGTACATAGTTTTATATATTATAGTAAATCTATAATGGTATGCAAAATCTACATAGAAGTTCACATCAAATCAAATCATTTCACAAAACATAAGCTATGTATAGCTTTTGACCGACATTGTTTAGCTTTTGACCAACTAGATAAGTTAAAGTTCTTCAGAAACTTGCACACAAAGATTTAGTATGATATAGATAATTCAGTGCAAATTTGGCCCTGTCGCTCAATAGGAGACCAGAATGCTATTGATTGAAATTCTTGGAAGGCCCTTCTTGTTGGTGTCAACCACTAAATTTTGGTTAAGGGCAGCGTCCACAACAGTTACATAGGAAATAGTTTTTAGCTCGACTATTCGCAGAATAATCGAGCTAATGCAGTCACCCATTTGTCGGTGTCGGCGTTCCTGTGGTTAAGTTTTTGCATGTAAGCTGGTATCTCCATAACTACTGAAGGGAATGGATTGAAACTTCACACACTTGTTCTCTGTGATTATTTAAGATGATTGGCACAAGTCCCATAACTCTGATTTGCTTTTTTACATAATTATGCCCCTTTTTCGACTTAGAAATTCTTGGTTAAGTTTTTGCGTGTAAGCTGGTATCTCCATAACTACTGAAGGGAATGGATTGAAACTTCACACACTTGTTCTCTGTGATTATCTAAGATGAATGGCACAAGTCCCATAACTCTGATTTGCTCTTTTTGCATAATTATGCCCCTTTTTCGACTTAGAAATTCTTGGTTAAGTTTTTGCATGTAAACTAGTATCTCCATAACTACTGAAGGGAATGGATTGAAACTTCACACACTTGTTCTCTGTGGTTATCTTAGATGATTGGCACAAGTCCCATAACTCTGATTGCTTTATTACATAATTATGCCCCTTTTTCGACTTAGAAATTCTTGGTTAAGTTTTTGCATGTAAGCTGGTATCTCCATAACTACTGAAGGGAATGGATTGAAACTTCACACACTTGTTCTCTGTGATTATCTAAGATGAATGGCACAAGTCCCATAACTCTGATTTGCTTTTTTGCATAATTATGCCCTTTTTCGGACAATTTTATGTATTCATATAGGTAAGCATTATTATACTCAATGAAACACCCTTGTGACAACTTTTCGAATAGTCGAGCGTTACTGTCCTCCGACAGTTCTTGTTATGTAATATTCTGCGTAACTCATCTTAAAAATTTGTGATGATTAGATTTATTGCCAAGGAGTAACAAAAATATGCTTTGTGGTTGTAAGATGTTAATTTGCTTACATTATACAAAAATAATTGATCTTGTGCACTGTGATACTTGTTGCATCGTGAGAATTACTATCATTCTACACCACTAATAATTACTTCTTTGCTGTAAGAGCAATTAGTTGGTGCAGGGTTGTTCTATTAAGTGTAGGAATTTCTGGCATCTCATGTTGGGTGGCTTATCGTAATCAAATAACAAGATATCAGACAGATAAAAATAGAAACAGTTTCTGTTCTGATCGCTATTAAAGTGTCAAGAATGTCTTTTACTGATAGTTTTGGTGTAGATGTTTTAAAATATTAGATCAAAACAGTTCAGATTCTAAATAAACAAAAATTGGAATCTTGTTATAGTCATTGCAATATTTCAAAAAACTTTCTTTAACAACTAACAAATTCACCTTTACCAAGTTAAATATCTTAAATGGACGTGTCTGTCTTTAAATATGGACATAATTATTCATCATTGTTAGGAAATTTTTTTAAAATTTGTACTGCATTTGTCTAAATATAGCAAACAATGCAGACCATGATGTGCAGGCTGATTTTTGTCTGCATTAGTCACGTTGGTAGATTCTGTAACCTCCAGTCCAGAAGTCTAATGTACAATGCTATTTAATGACATGAAAATGAAGCATCATTTGTCAAAATAAAATTATTTAGGTTGTTCTTATTGAAATATTAGAGGTAAAAATAAGTATGCCAAGACCGTTGTAATAGAATTTTACTGCTAGGTAATTTGCTATTGAAATGAAGGAGGTTTTATCTGTTATAATAATGTGAAAATATGTTTTTATCTTGTTGCGTAATGGACTAAATTATTAATAGTTGCCGTTATTCTGTATTTATCTTCTTTCTCTGCCAAAACCAATCACTATGTCTGGGTATAAAAGAATTATAGCTCTTGATAAGGTAGATGCAATGAATAAAGCTTAGTTTTATGTATTTTATAACGGAAAACGTTGTGGCGATAAAAAATCCAATTGTATCAAATTCAAGCACGAATCTTTTCTGTTCCAGAAATGACATATTATCTTATCATTTGAGTTTATTGAATGTTCGAAAAGTCATTTAATTTAATGAATTTAATTTTAAATGCATGTATAATTTTGTAATTTTTGTTTATTGAAGTTTTTTTTGTCTTTTTATTCAGTTGCGGAGCTCGTTTAGCAAAGCATTCAATACTAAGAAAAAGAATAGGAATGGTTCCCTGTCTGACTGTGAGCCGGACACAAATAGTTTAAGATCTACATTATCAGTACCAAATTCACCATTGTTACAAATCCACATGCAGAACGGACAGCATCCACTCAACATCAAGGGGAGTCACTCTTCTGGAGCGTAAGTAAAACTTGATTTGTGGAGTTATCTTTTATGATGCATTTTTTTAAGCATGTAAGATGACATGGCATATGATAGGCTTATGATAGATTGCTTATTTGTAGCAGAAATAAAGTTTTAAGAAACTGAGGTGATAAGTTTTTCCTATGAAACAAGTTGTCATCTAAGTGGTTGTATCAAGTATCAAAACACATTTTCAGTGATAAAATTATTTGGAATTAGATCTAGACGATATTTAAGTTTTTTTCCATACAAATAAATTTCTGAAAATGAATTTGAAAGAAATTAAAGATGATTTAGCTGGTGAAATATGTTAATGGGAAAGAACTTGGGCTCCATATTGTATTTTATTTGACATGAGTTCATCTATGAAAAGATTCATCGTTTCTTCTTTACATAAATATAACAAATAAGTCCATTTTATGGTTCTTTAATGTTGTTTTTTGTTCTTTGGGGCCATTTCCTTTCAGACGTACAATTATTCTTTTACTTTCAGGACAACAATAAATATTTTTACTTTTGCATAATTATATATTTCAGACTGTCCGACGGTGAGGAGTCGATAACAATTATGGAGTTGCGGAAACAGTTACGAGACAAAGACATGAAACTTACAGACATACGTCTGGAGGCATTGTCGTCTGCACATCAGCTTGAACAACTTAGGGAAGCCATGAATAAAATGAAAGTAAGTTATAGATTCTTACAGAGATAAAAATATTTACGATACTAAGGTTGTTTTTCATTAACAGAAAATATAAGGTCATCTCAGATAAGTTTTATGATATCATATGGGAAAGGGTTACATAATGAATTATTTATATTTCCATATCATAGTGACATGTGTCTTAAGTGATTTTTGGCAGAAAAATATGTACCATTGTGTATAGTATGCAAATTGGCATGTTAACCGGACTTGAAATAGGATATATTACAATATTTTACAACTTTTAAAGGGAATACCATTAAGGTTAAAATTAGCAGATATATACTAAATATTTTGAAATTTATTGTCAGAATAAATATTTTATGTAAAAGTGTTGCAGATTATGTTTTTATATACATATATTCTAGAACAGCATAAAGATGTGAAAAAAGTGCAAATGTATATGCGCAATCCTTTCTTTAAAAAACAACTTTTAAGTTTTGAGTTAATATAATAATTTTGATCATATCACAGTTTTGTGAAAACTTGTAGAGGGTAACATTGCGTTTATTTCAGAATGATATGTGTGCCTTAAAGTCAGATAATGATAGATTAGCACGAATGGTGCATTCGTCAAATTCTCTCAACACTTCCCAGAATTCCCTGCAGCATCATAACCGTACAAGCAGTGAATCACTGGAACGAACAATAAGTCTGACAGAAAATACCAGTTTAGGTAAGAAAAATACATCGTATGTCTGAATACAACAGACTGACACTGACTACTGTGTGGCGATGTGTTAATAAAAGTATTTTACTGGCGAAATATCAGACATTTTTTACGGAATATTTATTGGTCAATGGAAATGTCTATAGTAACATTTTGAATAAAAGATGTTTGTCAATCAACAAAATCAACAAATAAGTCAAATTTTGTCTATGTTGTTAATGATAATGAAAGATTTGAAAACTGTTCAGTCATAAACAAATTCAGTGCCTTGTATGGTGCGGACTTATGCAAATATTTATTATGCTGTATTAGATACTAAAAATAAATCCTTGATGTGCAAAATTCTCATTGAACATGACTGTGGGAATCCTTTGTGAAAATGGTATAATGAAGAATTCAATGCACAGAATTTAGTTTTTGTAAAATAGAGAAAAACAAAACTGTATGATTTATAAACCTGCAAATCTTTTCCTGCTAACATGATGAGACAATTAGCGTGGAGGAAATAGGGAAATAATTACAGGTGTAGAATAATTTGTCTATAAAACATAACAAGTGATTATCGTTATTTATTGTAGCCTTTGATTTGTACCAGGTAATGATATTGTTACTGCAAAGTAAATTATCTGTTATTGTAAAACAGCTTTGAAAGCTATATACCGGTACTTGCCAACATAATGATTTCTCCCTCTAGAGAAACATTAAAGTTTCTATTTAACTATGATTTTGATATCATAATTATGCTGTCATTATGTAAGAATGCACAAAAAAATAGTTTATACCAAGATAATTGTTATTACATCTATGAAATATTGCTTTTGATGTTATTTCCTTGAAAGTAAAATGACGTCTGCTGTTTTTCTATTTTTAGCCGACTTGTTAATACAGGAGTCTCCTGATAGGGGTGAAGGTCGTAGAGTGCCAATTACAGTTCATCTAGGGTCAAACCCTGACCCAAATCGTGCAAGAGTTGATGTATGTTTATGTTATTTTTCAACATTTCTTGTTTTTTTAATAACTTAAATTATAATCATAAGTAATATTTAAAATAAACAACTTAAATTGTATTTATATAACAAGAAAGAATTAAAGACTATTTTCAAAATAAGAATTGAAATAAATATGTAAAATATAGTCTAGGTGATAATATTCATACTAAATGATATATTTTCATTATAAGTTAAACTAAACATCATTTAACCAAAATAATTTTATGTACCCAAGAGATGTTTAGAATTTAAGTAAGGAGTAAAGAAATCTGAAAGGAAAAGTGTCAGCATTTTTGTGACAAGTGAAATAGTAATGATGTACTGTTTGACACTGGTTGTTTATTCCGTTATTTTATTGTAAAATGAAAGGTTTTACAGTTTATTTGTTTTCTTACAGAAAGCTGCAGAAGTACCTATAGGTTCTTTGGCTGTTAGTGGGAAAACTAAATGGGATATCCTTGATAATATTATCAGGAAAATATTCAAGGTGAGTCTTATATCAAAATAAATACATGGTACAGGTATATATTGTCAGTATAAAATGGAGAAGGCCACTTTTCCTTTTAATCAAAGAGGGGAATAAATCTTTTATTGAGATGAAACAAATTGGATACTTTGTTTATCACATGGAAAACAGCTTTTATAGATTACTGTTCTCATGGATTACAAGTCTCAAAGACTTTTACTCCAAATAAATAAAGACTTGCACTCCCAAATAATAACATTCCTGTGCCACCGCTATAGAGTATAGATAGCACGCTCATTTAAACTATTTGCAAATTAGTCTCTCCTTGGTTTAAGCATTTATGATATAAAAATCCATCTCATTAACAATGGAAAAGTTTGATTATTCCATTTTACAAATTCAGCCTGTTAAAAATTGGAGAAAGATAAAAAAAAAAAGGTTCATTACTGTGAGCTTTTAGCGCTCATATTTATTACTCAGTATTGAATTGAATTCTTTAAAAGAGTGGAATTAAGAGACTTATTACGAGTATTACATTATATTAATTATGTTAAATTTTATTGCAGGAGTATGTTCTACGTATAGACCCGGTTACAAATCTTGGACTAAGTGCTGAAAGTGTGTTTTCATACCATATTGGTGATATTGTAAGAACTAAAGATTCTGAGGTACCGGAGTTACTTCCCATAGGTTATCTTGTTGGTGACACTATGCAGATTGGAATATGTCTGAAAGGTAATTAATTAAATTGTTTTACTATTGATAAGATATTTCATATGCAGGCAGTTCCTCAGATTTAGTTTTAGTTTCAAAATGTTTTAAGCTTGTTATCATTTGTAAAATGGTATTAAATGGGGTACTTTTTATTATAACAAGACTATTGAATTTTAATTTGGTCCCAAATTTCCCTGATCAGTACAGTAGTGTAGTATGACTTAGTTCGATCAGATGTTGGTTGGGATCAAAATGCTTTTTCGAATGACTTCATTTGGACCAAAATCCACCATGAAAATGTTTTATTCTTTGAGTCTAAACTAAAAAAGCACATTACCTTCCAGCAGTACTTTAAGTATTTGATTCTGTATCTGCAACTACATACATGTATTGGCAGCAAATAAAAATAATCAACCAGTAAATAAGCTCCTACCTCTATCCCTGATTCTGATTTGGTAAGCGAATATTTTGTAACATTATGATAAAATTTTCAGGAACACGCCAAAACAGTGTGGACTCCCTGGCCTTTGAAACATTAATACCCAAGTCTATTGTTCAACGATACATCTCGCTGTTGATGGAACATCGTCGTATTATCCTTTGTGGACCTAGTGGCACGGGAAAAACCTACCTTGCTCAAAAACTTGCAGAACACCTCGTGCTCAGGTAAAGTATATCTCAATATCCCTAAATTTAAATGTAATGTAAATATATCATGACAGGTGATCAAATGAATGAGTTGCTTCTAAAAACCAATAAAAAAGGGCCTTTAAATATTTGTACTTATTGTTTGTTTATATCTAACTATATCATAGTACATGTAATGTGAAATGATAGTTCATGTTCTAAGTAAACTATACTGTCTTGTCTTTTGTTCTCTGTTACTTGTATAAATATCCTGCACTACTGCTTCCACTAAAATATTATAATACATTGAAATGAATGTAATGCAACAAACTGAGGCACTTAATTTTGAAATATTACAAAAAAAGTTGACCCTAATATCATCCATATTTCAGGTCAGGGAAGGAGCTCACTGCAGGATCAGTGGCAACATTTAATGTTGATCACAAAACAGCGAAGGAGCTACGCCAGTACCTTGCCAACATTGCGGAGCAGTGTGAGAACACCAGCATGGGAGAATTACCGAGTGTGATCATCCTCGATAATCTCCATCATGTCGGATCTCTAGGAGAGGTGTTCAATGGCTTCCTAAGTGTCAAATATCAAAAATGGTTAGTATAGTTTACTGTTGTTCTGTCATATTGGTTTGTTCTATGTCTTACAATCAAGATGTATTTTAGACAAGGAAATTTAACAAGAGTAAGGTGATAATGTTATATGACTTACCAGAATATAACAGCTAAAAAAAAACACGTTATGGCGGCATGGCCAAGTGGTTAGCATGTCAAACTTGAAACCTAAGTGTCGCTAGCCATCTTGGTTCAAACCCTGTCAGGGCAAAGTGTTGCTTTTTTTAATGAGAAACTTTACACTCATTGTTCAGTACTGTTTGGTACTAGGAACAGATTCAAAAGTGTATATAAATTTATAGGTTCCTACACAGTAGAACTAAAATAAATAAATTCATTATAAACTAAAAATGCATATTTTTCTATATTTAATGAATTTTTCTTAAAATCTTTTCTCAATATACATTGTAGCTGAATCATCAGAAAGGGAAATTTAACCAGTAAATTTCACCTTGAGGCTTATTTTGTACATATATGTATATATTTTTGTTGTTATTTCAGTCCATACATTATTGGGACAATGAATCAAGCCACATGCTCAACTACAAATCTCCAGTTACATCATAACTTCAGGTAAATTCCTTATTTCTTTTCTTCTTTCAATTTGTCAAAGAACCCTTCCATTCTGATTGGTTATTTTCAAATTCAAAAAATTTTGGAGAAGTACTGGGAGTAGTGCAATTTGAGACTTGTTTTTTGGATTTAGCTTTTTTTTGCCCTCATTACCATTTTATTGTAAATGATGTATATTTTTTGAAAAGAAGAAGACAAGAAACAAAAACCATCTCACATTTCGATAATAGAAATAATGTTTCTTTCATTTAGAATATAAAAAAATAAAGAATTTAAATGGTTTTTAATCTTTTGTGAAAGTAATTTTACTTTTATTTTCTTGTAGATGGGTGTTATGTGCAAACCATATGGAACCAGTGAAAGGATTTCTGGGACGGTATTTACGTCGCAGACTGGTTGAGGCGGAAGTGATGACCAGTCTTAGAAATAACGACTTGAATAAAATAATAGACTGGGTACCAAAGGTTTGGTTACATCTGAACAAGTTCCTTGAAACACACAGCTCCTCTGATGTCACAATAGGTAGGTTTGAAAATATTTTGAGGTTGTTTTTGCATAAGTGCGAAACTAACGAAAAAAGTTCAAAGTGTCAAATAATCCCATTAATATGCACCATCAGGTTATTTTTAAATCTGAAATTAATATTTATTACTAAATAATAGCAAAATAGTTTCTTTGTATGTCAAGATTTAACTTTTTACTAAAGCCATGTATATGTTGAATCTATGAATAATTGATATATTTGTATATTTTAGGGCCTCGACTGTTCCTGTCAGCTCCGATGGACATTGGTGGATGTAAGCTATGGTTCACTGATCTCTGGAATTACTCCATAGTACCGTACATGTTAGAGGCTGTTAGGGAAGGTCTACAGGTAAATTGTGATAAAATCAACTTGTTATAGAATAAGCAGGAACACGAATAGCTGTTGATAAGTTTGAATGGCTGCTGAGTAATGCTGACCATTACAATTATGTCTTCTGCTTGAAATTATTTAAGCACTATCTGTTGTACAGAGACTAAATGGATTTTGCATAACTACATGTATATACTGGTTGTAGATAAAGTTAATGTTTAAGGAATCTTCATAAAACAGTGCCTTTACAAGTGTGCCCCGCATTTTGGAAATAAAGGTTTATTTCAGGGTTTTTTCCCACAAAATATACACAACTAGCTTTTATTTATGATGAATTGTGTCCATTATCAATGGTCTGGTATACATATTTCAGGTATATGGTAAGAGAGCCCAATGGGAAGACCCTACAGACTGGGTACATGACACATTTCCATGGGGTATTGCTAAAGAAGGAGAACAGATCTTGTTGAAGATAAGGCAAGAAGATGTTGGGTATGACTCAGTTGGTTTGTCTTCATCTGAAAACAACAGTCCTAAGATACAGACCAAAAATAAAGAGGAAATAACTGTACAAGACTCTGAAGGAGATTCCATGGTCAGTGATGTGTAGTTTCCATGGATACAAAATTATAAAAGTGATTCCATGGTCAATGATTTTTACTTTTTATGGTAGGCAATATTTTAATGTGAGTATCCCATGGTTATCTTATTAAATATATTCCATGGGTGTGACACTTGTAAGATGATACCTGGTTGCCATGGATACTAACAAAAGTGCAATGCTATAGATATACCAGTGATGAAAGTTACAATAGAACTAGTGAATATCTGAAAGCTGCATGGAAACTGTAAACTTGCAAGGATAAGTTACCATGGAAACATAGTTGATATACGTTTGATGTCATGTAGTCCATGGACAAAGAGAGTAAACCAGTGTGATAAGTTAACAATGTTTTTTGTAGACTTAGATGTGGAAATTGTGATTGAATCCAGTCATATAACTTTATTACTGATAGAAGTGTATATAAGAGTTATGGTTGTTTATTTATTATAATAATAATTTGAAAACAAATGACTTGTTTTTGCTTTTAGATAATATAGATTTTGAAATCCAAGAAAAGTCCTAATTAGAAAGTTTATCAGATATTGTACAGGTGTCTTTAAAGAGAAGTAAATCTTTAAAGGGAAGTAAGTGTAATATACAGAATCTGTATATTATTGAAGGGAAGTAATCCTGAGATACAGAAAATGTTCTTATATAGCATTTTAAATATTTTGGTGCAATGAACATTGTATTTAAATCAACCGTTGTTATAGTAAATAATTTGTCTTGTGTTAAGATTTGTTAAATATTTTTTAAACTTGATCCAAAAATTAATTATTTTTTAATATTACGATTTTTTAATTAACATATTTTTTAACATGTCTATTTTAACAAGTTATAATATTTATTGCAAGTATTATACATGTTTAGAACTTTGAATTTTTATGCTTTAGTGATAGAACTGCAGTCACAAAGTTAAAGAATACTGTAAAATTTACATAAGAAACCAGTCTCAAGAATGGAATCTGATGATTGGTCAATTTCAAATCTGTAATTCAAATTGACGAATCAGACACTAGAATTTTAGACTGGTTTTCTAAATTCAAGTGTAGTAATCTTGGGCCTGGTAATTTGTTTTATACAAAAAGTATTCGGTTATTGTGCAATAGGGTAAAAGGCAATGATATTGTTATTACTGGAAAACATTTTACTAGGGGATTTTATTGGAATACAACATTTCCAACAATGCATTTTTTTACTATCTTACTTCTCATTATTGGTGCTGTAGAATTTGTTTACAGAATGTCTGAAAGAAGTGTTTAAGATACTTTATACAGTAAATATTGATTATTACATAATATATATATATATACATATATATATATATATGTTTTAAGAAATTAAGTTCATGTATATTTTAATATTAGTTGGCCGCAGTTCTAAATTGCGTTACTTAAAATAGAAGTCGGAGTAAAAAAATTGAATTCCTGGAGAATAAACTCAACAACTGTTTATAACAAGATAAAAAGTTATTTATGACTTTGACACAAAATTCTTCATTTCTTTTATTGTATGTACCAGTATTTAGATGTATTAGTTTATGTTTTTATATAATATTCATCTCTGTAGAATACAGTAGGACCAATAAATGAGTCATCTTTTTTTTAATAATTTCAATTACATTGTTTGATTCACATCTGCCGAATGTTTCATTATTTATGTCACATTTCATTACAATGCACATTATCTATTTTTTTATTTATTTTTTTTAGTAAGCACACATTTTGTTTTATAAACATTTTATGAAAAATGTTCTTCCATTTTGAAGTTCAATTTTATGATTACATATCCTTTTAAAACTACTTCAGATTTACTGTGGGTATTGACTTCTTTATACTTATCAATTATCGTATTTAATAAAAAATTTTTTTTAAATAATTGGCATGTATTATCCGAAATTTGGCATCGTGAACAGTTAATACAGGTAACCTTGACATTATGTAACTGAAAATCTATAATGTTTGTATATTGTCCTGTAAAGCTTTACTCTATAGAGGTCACTCTCAGGAAATAGTAAGTGCAGTTTAATGGCAAGTGATCTCCCTTTAAGAAAAAAAATGGTAATTTAGGGTCTTATTGTGCAAATAGGGGAAATATAATGGCCTTGATTGAAAAGTGTTCTCTATTTATAGAATTGGTCTAAGTCACAAGTTTGACTGTAGGAATTAAAAGCTGTTCCTCTGAAAATTACACTAAAGACTAAACGTATTCAGGTACCAATATAAGATATAATGCTGTAAGATACTTGGACAAAAATGCACCATTATTAATGTTGTATATATTATACTAGTATAATATGTAATTTCAGTCACAAAATTATACTAAGTTCATTATTCATTCACTGATTATATTATTATCACTTTTTGTGCTTATTCAGTTTGGATTTTCTTCTCTTTTTTTTTTTCTCTTTTTTTTGAAAATATTTACTCTTTAGTTTGGCTAGATTAAAGTGGGTTTCCACCTTTTTTTACATTCTTTAAGTTCAAAATGTATTCTTGCCATTAGAAATACTTTACTCATGATTAGATATTTATTTTGAGTGTTTTATTTCTAGTTCAAATTGTCTTTTTGCTGTTCCATAGTTTATAAAACAAATTTATTTTAGAAAAAAATATCCAAATTCAGCAGAAGAGACATAGTAATACATGTACAGAGTTCTACACATTTATTTTATGATTATCTCATGTTGAAAAAGATACATGTGTGATTATTATTAAAACAATTTAAAACTTCATTGATCTGTAAATGTTTTATTTTGATATTAGTTAGCTAACTGCTGTCATCACTGGCATCACGGATTAGGTTTCCTAACCATGTCTGTTACCCCCACCCATATACATAATTGAGCCGTTTAGACAAAACTAACATAGTGGGTTTGCAACCAGCATGGATCCAGACCAGCCTGCACATCCGCGCAGTCTGATCAGGATCCATGCTGTTCGCTATCAGTTTCTCTACTTGTAATAGGGTTTCTAAGCGAACAGCATGGATCCTGATCTGACTGCGCGGATGCGCAGGCTGGTCTGGATCCATGCTGGTCGCAAACCCATTATGTTGGTTTTGTCATGGCATGGCTCAATATATATGTACATGTACATATATCCCAGGTTTTTTTATATTTTGGGGTTATACTGTATTAGTCCAAGCATGTGTATTGTATTGGTGCTGTATATTTATGCATTACACCACTAAAAGTGTATGAATACCACTTGTACATGATATAAGAAACATTCAAAGCAAGTTTCTACATATATGCTATATGCATTTAACACCTTAGTACATAAAATTATTGTGTTTTGTATTTATGATGTGGTACTCATACACATTTAGTCACATGGTGTAAACCCTGCTTCCATCGTAGAATGTAAAGGAAGCTTCTAGGTTTTATGGGTAGTTATCAAAAGGCAAGCATCCAGGAAATAAAATTGAAAATTGGATTTTTTTAATTGTTGATCAGAAAATAACTTTATGCAAACAATCATGCAAGTTTTTGCTTAAGGCAGAAATCATGGGAAAACATGCATGACCAGTTATATTTTGGCAAATCCAGAAAAGAAAAAGAATGTTCAAATTTACCTTGCAGCATTCTGAATTTAGACCACACATTGATATAGTTTAAACATGATTCAAGAATTTCATCATTATTTTGATAAATATGATATTTCCTGGTTGTTTACCTGCATTTACATTTCGTTAGAATGTAGGCTCCTTTAATTTTGTTGCTGGTTTTTGGGTATGGGAATATTTAAAAATTATTATAATCATATGAGGTGTTTGGTTTATAACAAAAGTAAATAATTTTCCAAAATGTTTAAAGCAGCATGCCATCAGATTCATGCTAATTTTCATGAAAAAAATTAAAATGTATTAAAAAGTAAAATATTGTCTAGAGAATGAAGAAAGAAATTTACACATTGCTAATAGCACTTTAAAACTACAAAAATTACCAAAAATTTTTTATAGGAAAGATTTTGCAGAAATAGCCTGTACTGTGTTAGTCTCGCAGTAGAAATATGGTGATTAAAACAGCAAAATCAGTCATCTATTGCATATAACATGTAAATTATTTCTTGAATTATGAATATTTTTACTTTTCTTGAAGTCTTAGTACATTTTTTCTCAAGATTGATTTTCTTGAAATATATTGGCTCTTCTGGAGGCATGCAGCTTTAACAATATAGCTTGATCACTTTTGATCTAACATAATTAATTTACTGGTTCAAACTTAAAATTTGGATGACAATATATTGAGAGTTAAATAATCAAAAAACATCCCAAAACCAGGGGCAAATACAAAAGGATCACTAAAATTCATTTTCGTTCCTTACCATAAACCATTTGCATGAATATTTCATGACCATTACATAACATTGCTTAATTGAATCAATTTATTGACTCAAAATTTATGAAATTTGCATCTCTTAGAGCGCTTGTATCCTAAATCTGTCTTATTAAATATTTGAACAAATTTCATGATGGCCAAAAAAGAAAAACACTAAAGAAATTAATAAAGTTTTAGATTCTAAACTTACAATTTTATATCCTGATCTGAAACAAATGATGGGTTTTATTATAATTTTAATGTTTTTGCTTGTTAAGTACTTTTGTGACTTTTTTTTATCAGATTTCATTGGTTTAAAATGAGTCAATAAGCCGTTTACTGATCTAACGGTATCTTTATTTTGTTTTATTGTTAAGTATATAATTGAGTTTGTGCAGTCTGATCAGGATCCATGCTGTTCGCTTTCAAACTCTATTACAAGTAGGGAAACTGATAGCGAACAGCATAGATTCTGATTAGACTGTGCGGATGCGCAGGCTATGGTCTGGATCCATGCTGGTCGCAAACACACTATGTTGGTTTTGTCATGGCGCGGCTCATATGAGGTTTACTAAAGACAAGGGCATGTAGTTGTTTTTGAATTAAGATAAAGATAAATGTATTTAAACTGTTCAATATATATCTGAAAATATAGATTTAGTTTTCTATAAGATAAACATACAATATAATGACTTTGTGGGTCATTTTATGTGTTTCTTTGGAATAAAAATAAAATTCTATTTTATAAAAAAGCATAATACCTATCACATGATCTGTCATATACATGCATTACTTCATTTTAATCACTCAACAATTGTGTGTTACTGTTCATATACTCTGATAATTATCATGTTTTTACATTACACATTATACATGTACATTACATGTTCTCATACATGTGGGATATTTCTGCAGTTCTTTGTGTGTTGAAGTATAATTTGTACATACATTTTGTTAAAGATTTTATGTATATAAGTCATATTTAAGAATACACATATGCCATGCAGTGTGTAATGCGTTTTCATTATTATGTAAACATTTCATATACTCACTACATAGAGTATCCAGACTAGTGTGGTGAAATAAAGTTTGAAAATTACATTTCTTCTGTTATTTTTTCTAAAACTCCTATAAGAAGTTCCCGCATAGCAAAGTTGTAAGAGAGGTCCCCGCATAGCAAAGTTGTAAGAGAGGTCCCCGCATAACTAAGTTGTAAAAGAGGTCCCCGCATAACTAAGTTGTAAGAGAGGTCCCTGCATAACAAAGTTGTAAGAGAGGTGTCTGCATAACAAAGTTGTAAGAGAGGTCCATGCATAGCAAAGTTGTAAGAGAGGTCCCCGCATAGCAAAGTTGTAAAAGAGGTCCCCGCATAACTAAATTGTAAAAGAGGTCCCCGCATAACTAAGTTGTAAGAGAGGTCCCCGCATAACAAAGTTGTAAGAGAGGTGTCTGCATAACAAAGTTGTAAGAGAGGTCCACGCATAGCAAAGTTGTAAAAGAGGTCCCCGCATAACAAAGTTGTAAGAGAGGTCCCCGCATAGCAAAGTTGTAAGAGAGGTCCCCGCATAACAAAGTTGTAAGAGAGGTCCCTGCATAGCAAAGTTGTAAGAGAGGTCCACGCATAACAAAGTTGAAAGAGGGTTCCCCTCATAACAAAGTTGTAAGAGCCCTGCATAACAAAGTTGTAAAAGAGGTCCCCACATAACAAAGTTGTTAGAGGGGTCACCACATAACAAAGTTGTAAGAACCCTGCATAGCAAAGTTGTAAGAGAGGTCCCCGTATAGCAAAGTTGTAAGGAAGGTATACTGGACTCATCATGTCAGGCTGTCAGGTTTTGTTTATGTTATGTATCACCTCAAAAGTATGAGAGGCATGGGACTTCATTGACGGATGGTATGGAGGAGACATGTATTGCCTAGAAACCATACTATAAGGTCTTTTGCAAATTTTTGAGTTATTGCCCTTTAAAACTTTTCAAGATAAAGGTTTCCTGGTCTATGCCTAAAAGGCGAGTAAATAACGTTTTAAAATAGATAAAGGAAATACCAATAGCAAAGTTATAAAATATGTTACATGCTTGTAGTGTATATAGAAAGCAAGTCTTAATGAAGAATAAATAAATAAGGTGTTATTTTGTTTCCACCTGTTCTGGAATTGCCTATGATTTTAATGTTATGTTGGTTCCAAAGAAAGCTATTACTTTAAATGACTTAAGTTTGTTGTCCAAAAATAAGTCATAAATTTGCTTCTTAATTTTTCACAAGCATACAGCCACTTGCATGCAGCCATTATTATAACCCAAAATACAAGAAGGTTTGTGGTATATCACAGCGTATATATTCACCTGAGACAAAGGCAGGTTTGTGGTATATCACCCAAGACACAGGCAAGTTTAGGGTATATCACCTGAGACAAAGGCAGGTTTGGGGTATATCACTCTAGACAAAGGCAGGTTTGGGGTATATCACCTGAGACACAGGCAGGTTTGTGGTATATCACCAAAGACAAGGGCAGGTTTGGGGTATATCAACTGAGACACAGGCAGGTTTGTGGTATATCACCCAAGACACAGACAATTTGGGGTTTATCACCCAAGACACTGGCAGGTTTGGGGTATATCACCTGAGACACAGGCAGGTTTGGGGTATATCACCCAAGACACAGACAATTTGGGGTTTATCACCCAAGACACATGCAGGTTTGGGTATATCACCTGAGACACAGGCAGGTTTAGGGTATATCAACTGAGACACAGACAATTTGGGGTTTATCACCCAAGACACAGGCAGGTTTGGGGTATATCACCCAAGACACAGGCAGGTTTGGGGTATATCACCTGAGACACAGGCAGGTTTGGGGTATATCACCCTAGACACAGGCAAGTTTAGGGTATATCACCTGAGACACAGGCAGGTTTGTGGTATATCACCTGAGACACAGGCAGGTTTGTGGTATATCACCCAAGACAAAGGCAAGTTTAGGGTATAACAACAGTGACACAGGCAGGTTTGTGGTATATCACCCAAGACACAGACAATTTGGGGTTTATCACCCAAGACACAGGCAGGCTTGGGGTATATCACCAGAGACAAACGCAAGTTTAGGGTATATCACCTGAGACAAAGGCAAGTTTAGGGAATATCACCCAAGACACAGACAGGTTTGGGGTATATCACCCAAGACACAGGCAGGTTTAGGGTATTTTACCTGAGACAAAAGCAGTTTTGGGGTATATCACCCAAGACACAGGCAGGTTTGTGGTATATCACCCAAGACAAGGCAAGTTTAGGGTATATCACCTGAGACAAAGGCAGGTTTGGGGTATATCACCGGAGACAAAGGCAGGTTTGGGTTTATCACCAGACACAGGCAGGTTTGGGGTTTATAACCTGAGACAAAGGCAGGTTTAGGGTTTATCAACTGTGACAAAGGCAGTTTTTGGGTATATCACCCAAGACACAGGCAGGTTTGTGGTATATCACCCAGGACACAGGCAAGTTTAGGGTATATCACCTGAGACAAAGGCAAATTTAGGGTATATCAGCCAAGACACAGACAGGTTTGGGGTATGTCACCCAAGACACAGGCAAGTTTAGGGTATATCACCTGAGACAAAGGCAGTTTTGGGGTATATCACCCAAGACACAGGCAGGTTTGTGGTATATCACCCAAGACACAGATATCACCTGAGACAAAGGCAGGTTTGGGGTATATCACCAGAGACAAAGGCAGGTTTGGGTTTATCACCAGACACAGGTAGGTTTGGGGTTTATTACCTGAGACAAAGGCAGGTTTGGGGTATATCACCTGAGACACAGGCAGGTTTGGGGTTTATCAACTGTGACAAAGGCAGTTTTGGGGTATATCACCCAAGACACAGGCAGGTTTGTGATATATCAACCAAGACACAGGCAAGTTTAGGGTATATCACCTGAGACAAAGGCAGGTTTGGGTTTATCACCAGACACAGGCCGGTTTGGGGTTTATAACCTGAGACAAAGGCAGGTTTGGGGCATATCACCCGAGACAAAGGCAATTTTGTAGTATATCATCAGAGAGACAGACAGATTTTGGATATATCACCCAAGACAAAAGCAGGTTTGGGGTATAGTACCTGAGAAACAGACAGGTTTGTGGTATATCACCTGAGACACTGGCAAGTTTGTGGCATATCACCCAAGACAAACAGGTTTGGGGCATATTACCCAACACTTATAAAATTTCTTAACAAGAGGGCCATGATGGCTCACATTAGTTACTGTGCTTAAAAAAAACGTCACAATTTTTTATGCGAAGACAGTAATGAAGACACATTTTTGTCATTCAAGTCCCAAGCTGCATTTTTTTTTTTTTCAAAAATATTCATACATGTCTGCTAGGCAGCATGTTAAATATCAAAGCTCAAAATATTATTATTTCACACAGGAAGACTTAAGTCTACATAATAACTAAGTGACATAATAAGGAAATGGTTTATACATGTAAAAGAGAACCACAAAGATTTGTAAGAAAAGATTTTAAGACATTTCTACCATGTCTATATGTCTATGTTAACTATGTTACCCAAAGGCAGGACCATTTTTTACCCAAGGAGCAGACATACATGTCATTATGCTTTGCATGTTAAAGATTTGGAAGAAAAGATTTTTAAGACATTTTTCACTATGTCTATGTCAACAATGTGACCCAAAGGCAGGATCATTTTGACCATGTACTGTGTTACAATGCTATACGCAAAATATCTATGCTCTGAGTTGCACAAAAGAAGATTTAAATGTATTTCCTATACAAGTCTATTTAAACTAAGTGACACCTAGTAATAATTTTAAGCTCTGGGCATAGTATTTTCTGAGATTTAGTCCTTTAATTCATTTTGCTATGCAAGTCTATATAAACTAAGTAAACCCAATGGTGGGCAAAGGGATACAACTTATATAATTCTGACCAGTAGATGTTCACTAGACAATGCTAGATGCCTAAATTCTAAGCTCCCAATGAATATTATTTAAACAATCTTCAAGGTCCACTAGACAATGTTAATGCTAAATACCTTAGCACAATCCTGCAATGTTTTCTGTTTTGTGTATGTATAATAATATACTATTGTAACATTATACATAGTTCTGCCATTCACTATTAGTGTGAGTAAATTAATAAGAACACAGATGTGAACTAATCTAGTTTGATCTAAGAACTAGTCTATGGCAAAATTGCCTGTCTAAAATAAGAGCTGCCAGTTATGGCATTCATGTAACAATACTAACATGTAAAGGTCATGGTAAAATGTATCAGGTTAAACTGATATGATTACAAATCCCACATTTTTTCAGAAGAGGATTTTTCTTTCAGTTGTCATAGCAACCAGAGTTCTGCATGGAATTAAGTCTTTGAGCAACTTTGGAAGAGCTACTCCTCTGCACACTGTATGTATATTTCACTTTCACTCACTTGAAATAATGGTAATGTATTCAATAAGTGTCTAAGATACATCTTGAACTGCAATGACCACACAAATCTTATATAATTAATCTCAGAACTGCAGTAACACATACACTCAGGGTGTGGAGCTCCAAATGCATTGAAATCCAAATAAATTTTATATTAATTTTGTCAGTTTCAGAACATAATACACTAATATCATATAGATCTATATCAATAACACTTATATTAAGAACCGCCTCCGTGGTCGAGGGGTTAGAGTCGATGACTTCTAATCCAGTTACCTCTCTGGCGTGGGTTTGATCCCCGGGAGATGCTTTGGTAGTTTAGCGCGGAGGAAGGTAGTCTAGTACTGGTGTAACTCTCCAGGAACGATTGTTAGGAAACTTATTTATTAACCGCCTATATGACTGAAATACTGTTGAAAAAGGCGTAAAATGAAATAAACATACAAACAAACAAACTTATTTTAAGCTTTTTTTTTTTTTTGTAAAAAAAAAAATCACATTTCATTGTCTCTAATATGTATATACATGTATATACAGTATGTTCTTGGATTGGCAAATATACAATTTCTGGATTTTATCATGTCTGGAGCTGTCTGTGTCCTGACTGCCCTGACAACGCGCCTGCTAGTCATAATCAGAATTGATTGTTAGTATCATGAAGATGTAGATGACTGTTCTTCCCCTGTTAAATTGTAAGTTACAAAGCCTAAACCACGCCCACTATTAGAAAGGCGGTTCTCTCTCAACCGTGTACCAAGTACGCTTTGCTCAACAGTGTACTTTTAGACAGGCCCCTAAATTGGGGGGATAGTCTGGCATAAATTTTTACGGTATGGTACGGAACACGTACGGTATGGAACGGTGAAATATTTGCAAAATTAAATCATGTAATACACATAAATTTTTTATTTCTAGTTTTTATTTATTAAATGGATAGTAAGTCAAAGACATAATCTTTTGTTTTGTGGTGGAATAAACAGAATTCTGCAATACGAATATATTAAATAGTTTCAAAGTGCTAGCTTTTAAAGTCACGAGCCAATCAAATACCGCGTTCCCTGGCAACGTTGTTTTCCTCATGTAGAAAAAAAAATGATTTACACTTTTGGGTATTGAATTAAAGATTTTAGCCAGCATCAAGTCTACGGCTTGTGACATATTGCGTCAGGATGACTGATGTAATGCATGGAATATTGGCTGAAGCCAAGAAAAACAAATTTTCAACAATTAGAGACACATTATCAGAGGATGGTAAGTGACCTACAAACTAACAAATTCAAACGTATTTTATGAGTTGAGTATACGACGATTTTGTTTTTCATATGCGTTGTCAATTTTATTTACTTATGGATGAGCATATGCTTTATTGTGAACTGCAAGAAGATAGTTAAATATTACTGTTTACAGATGTAAACTTCAGAAGTCATGACATTACTGGAACTATAAAAATCATGAAAATTATGAAATGAATTCAATTCTTTTAGGCTGATTTCTCTTTTGTTACTGTAACGTTAAGGTATTCATTGCAGTCAGGGACGTTTATATACTGAAATTCGTAACAGCAGCTGATAGTTATTATGTAACACAATATTATTTGATATTTGTGAACAAACATGATTCTGATTAGTGGCTTAATTGATGGCTCAGGTGTTCAATCCATAGATAGTCATTCAACTTGAGAAGTGATATCCTCCTATAATCCCCTTCCACCTCGGCGATTGACGTTAACTAAATCTGTATATAACTATGTTAATTGTATAGATGATGTAACTGTGTTATTTTATAATTGTTTTAAATACACCTTTGACGTTTGTGATACAATTAAGATGCAACTAACTATAAACTATTGAAACAAATATGGTTTCATGACAGGATTTAATTCAAGAATGATGCTTTGACTTAACAAACATATACCTATATTTCTATATATGCTCCTGTCCAATTATATAAATAGTGTTGTTTTTTTCGTGCAAAGCTTGTATCAACAACAAAAAAAGATAAGTTTATGTACCTTTTTTTCTTTGAACATTTGAGTTAAATGACTATGTCCCTGAGATAAATAGATTATCAAGTCACTTTCTACAATTATTTGTTGCAATACATATATTATCATGGATGATTAGTTTAGTTTTCAGTTTTATAATTAAAGTAAAGCAAGTTGTAAAAAAAATATCAGAGATACAAAAATGTATTTGTAGCATGTTTATTCATAATAATAAGTTGCGTTAAAAAAATTGTACTACTGACCTACATACCCTCTCCTAATTGGTATAGATCACCTGAAGATATTATAAATAAAGTTCCTTTTTTAAGATACTAAGCCTGGTAAATACACATTTTATTTGTTGAAGATTTCAGAAATATTATTTATTTCAGATGTGGCATCCGTTTGGGAAAATGTGTCAAGTTTCATTGAGAAACAGATGTCAAATCAAAAGGTAAGAGAGAGAGATTATTTGCCTTCCGTATCAAGATATGGTTTGATTGTTAAGTAGCAATTTACTATTTATCATTATATGAGTATATTATGTAAAATTGTCATTATTCAATATGTTATTTGTTATTTAGATAAGCATTCTTGTTTGTTTTGAAAAAGTTAAATTCTTACTCATAACATCATACATGATTATAAACTGATATGTTATTTTGCAGGGAGTTCTTATCCAGTCCTTGGGGACCTTCACTTTTACCCAAAAGAAACTTGATATAGGAAACAATAAATTCATTCTTATTCAACGGCCAGTGTTCAACATATCTGAAAAGCTTGCTCAAAGTCAAGGACTGCAGTATGTCAAACACCATGTGCCAGGTAAATACATTCTCTTACCTTTTTTTTTATATGAAAATGCTTCATGAAAATGATTTGACTTTTATGTAACCATTACCTGTACATATATTTCTAATATAATGAGTGAGATTTTCTATGCATTTTCTATTAAAATTTCAGTGTTTTTCAAAACCTGAATGCTGGTAATTACTTGCATTCAAAACATTGATTTAATGTAAAAAAAGTTACTTTCATGAACACTATATCTTATTAGAAAAAAATAATGTAAAATAATTAAGCAAGGTCTTTGTATAATGCAGTACAACACTATTTATCTAGCCTAGTAGGAGAAAGTTTTTATATTTTTAAATAATGTACTTAATTGTCAGAGATACAAGAATGTTTTGTTGTGTATTTTTTCTTTTGTCCTGGAACATAATACTTTTATTTTCAAAGTTGTGTAATAAAGGAATTTGCCTTGAATTTACTTGTAAATTCAATTTTGGTTACTTTTTTCAGGTCAGATTCCAGTTGTTCAGCTTAATTATGCAGCTTTGTCATTTGAGAGTCCATTTGATCGTGACACAGTGGAAAGTTGTGTACGCGAAATTCTTGGTGCTGTTCAGAGGGCAATTGGATCAAAAAGAAATGTTGAACTTAATTTCAGTGGAATAGGCAAACTATCAATTCGTGATTCTAAAGTTAAAATGAAGTTTTATAAGGATTTTATCAACCAGATGGATGGATCAGGGAAATTACTGGATTCAATGCAGAATGTAAGTCTGATTGTTAACTATAATCTTACTATTTATTTATCTATAAATGGTGGAGATAATAATAGATTACTCACAGCTGATGGCTAGTACTCTGTGTCATTTCACACTCTACAATATATCTTAGATTGTTCTGTGGTCACAAAACTTTACAATAAAGTTATTTGGTCCTACATAAAGTTCTTTTACTGTTATCATAGACTCAGATAATCTCTGTGTCACTGATAAAACCTATAAGAGATATAAACTATACATACTGTTCACAGTTGCAAATCATGCAAGGCTGAAGTTAACCTTTTTCCATGAGTTAAAGAACCCTACTTGTTTAACTGATTCACCCAGTTTTGAGTGTACAGACATTTAAAGCAGGAGAAAATTTATTGTTAAAGTACATATGTCTTTATCCATAACTTTTTTTTTGTGGTTAAAAATTTCTCATTAAGCCTTGGTAAATAATAGCATGAAGAGAGATGAGAAAAGACAATTTGCTACAAGGTTTTTAAGAAATCATTCTTTTAATATTTAGAAAAAAAAACAACAACAAAAACTTCTGAATCTTACTATTGTTGTATAATTGTATTTAAGCATTTTACCACATCAAATAACTGTTGTTATAAATGAGATAAATGATATTTAAAGTAGGTTTTTGGTTTCATCAATACATGTATATACAAAATGTATGATGCTGTTTTGGACTGTTTTTTTAATGGTTAATTTTTCTCTGAAAGTGGATCTTCTTCCTCTGCTTTTAGGCAAATAAAGCTCAGGTAAGTCAGTTGGTCAGTTGTGAATTAAGTAGGTTTTAGAAAAAGTATACTAGTTTTTAGGCGTTATTTTTTGTCTGTAAATCTTAGAAAAACTTTAATTCACCTGTAATTATATTCCTGTAATAGAAGAGTTGTTAGCTGCTATTTCATTTGTAAATTATAGTATTCACTGCAACAGGTTTACTTGTACTGTACTTTATTAAAGATAATACTTCAGGGATTTTTTTTTTTTGCTTATTTTATAGCCGATATTCGGTCATATTCCCAATTGAAAATAGTATATTATTTTCCCAATCCACAGGAAAAATTTCCCACATGAAAGTTACAAAGTATAAATATTGTAAAACAAACTCTAAAATCTTTGAAAATAAGGGTTTCTTCACTGTTATGGTGCTTAGATGTTTGAAGATGTCATCCTAAACAATAATTCTTTCCATTTATTTAATCACTGCAAATGTTAAGTCATGCCTTTTTTCCCCAATTTTTAACAAAACGTCGCTGAAATTCTCAATTCCATGGGTATGGGTCATGTTCCCAAAATCCTGGAAAAAAAAACCTGTACTTAACTGAATTTTAGAAACAATGGCTGTTCATAGAGGCTAGATTTTGTATTATTATCACAGCAGTAGAGGCACAACATTTTATTTAGTTCACTGTGATTATTTTTCACATTTAGAAAGGTTGCATAACCTGTCAGGTTAGAAAAAATGGGCCCTTTTTGACAATTTGAGGAAAATAATAAAACTATTTGAGGAGAGAATTGTTCTGTGGGAATATCTTTACACTAATTCACATAGGAAAATGGATGAAATTAAGGCCCCCAAAAAGGGCTTAAAAATAAACCATTGATTTATTATATTGCATGAACTCTTGTATCATGTAATTTTAGTTTTTGAAATGAAATATAAAGTGATGGCATATTAAATGCATTACCTCAACTACGAGTATCTATACTTGAAGTTGAAAATGTGGTACATTAAACCTTAATGCTATGTGACTACATATATTTCATAAGTTGTCTAATGTACATGCACAGAACACATCTACATTGTGGATTTCAGCATTATACATTTTTGTTTTGTCATAAAGTTTATTTATTTCAATTAAAAAAGACAGTGATACATGTACAATATGAAACAATGCTTGTCCTTAAAGCAACAGAATCAATTGATATATTACATGTGTATAATTTTATTTCAGTTGACAATTGTTAGAAATTAACAATTAATTATCTTAAGTTGATAACTTGATATTAAAGATTATAAATGGTATCATTTTACTGTATTTTCAGAGACCTGGCACAGTTGACTCTGTGATGTCAGATAGATGTTTGTCCAGAGCTCAGAGTTCTAACACAGTTATTTTACCAAGGTAATTAATGTACAAATATACATAACTCTCAGTGCTCCTAACCCATTAATAGCAAGATGTTAATGTTTCTCAAGTATAAATTCCAAAATGAATAAATCAGTTTTCATCAGTCTAACTTTACGCTTTTTGTCTGGATAAAAGTTCTTACATTTTATGTAGCTAATTTGTTAATAAGAAATCCCTGCTTTTATTCTCAGTGTTATCTCTTATTTTTTGGCACTTGATAAAAGACACATTTCACAATTTGTCTATTGATGTAGGCTGAAATTGTAAATACTTGTCACATAATCTTGTATATATTTTGTAAACTTAAAAGTTATATATAGAACTATTGAGTGTGACTATAAACTAACCAATGACATTTTTGTGACGGCTTTATTTTAAAATTGACATATTTATGACACTATATTTCTAAATATCTTCCATCTTCAGAAGGCCTGGTAAACAAGGGTAAACATCTTTGATTGTATTTTGAGTGGCTATATTAGGTGGCAGACACATAGAGTTGATTTATTAAGTTCCCATTTATAGTTAAAGTGCACTATCTATATATGATCCTATCAATAAGTAACATGGCAACATATTTGTATAGTTTTAATCAACATCACTTAAAACAGGCACTACCAACCCATTATATATAAATGCAGTATATAAGTGCTATATAAGTGCATATAGAAATGCATGTAAGTGCTGAAATCGGTTATATTTCATTTTACTATAAACTTTCCAATTCCTTCACTTCTTTTTATCTCACATTTTGACAAATATTTTTTTAGGAATGCTGTAGTTCAGGAAATAGCTGTTATTTTTGTAGATACAGTGATTTTTTTCCCCCCCATAATAATGTCTATCTAGGAGGGGAATTGTAATGCAGAAGATTCTACATGTATATCATAGCATATCTGTTAAAAGTAGTACATGTAATTCAAATTTTATGCAATTAAGGGAAGCGTTTGTTTTTAATTGATTATTATTGTCATCACATTCAACATTCATACATCTGTAACAGATGGAAGCTGATAAGCCTGACTATGGCATGTATATGTAGTTTTATAGTTCAAAAGGAATACTCACATCTCTGTGAAGTCTTTACAAACATTTTATGCCAATAGATATTTCTATTACTTTTGGAGATGTACTTATAAAATCCAAGATTTCCTTGGCAAAATTAAGGTTTTTAATTATCGGGTCAGAATATGAAATTCCGTATTATAACTATGAAACTGTCACCAGCAAGTTATTAAAAGTTAACAGTCTGTATATTTTATCATGTTATGAGATAAAAATGTAATCGTAGGATTAATGTATGCAGTTAATACTTACTATACATAAAACTATTGTTCAGTAAGTATTTAAGAGATTTTAAGATTTAAGCAAACAAAATTCTTGTATACAAGTTTAATTTTGTGTCTACAGGTGAATTTAAAGGGAGGGTTTAAAGCTTTTATCTAAGTTACTGCAAACATTGTTGACCTTAAACATTGTTCAGTTCATTACATGATGTAACAAGTTGAAGATTAAAGTTTACTTACAAAGTCACCAGTTTTAACAATCACAGTGCCAGTATTGAAGTTCTGTGGAAAGGGAATAATGCTTATAAATAAAATGACATATTTATTTTTGAATTTCATTTATGACTAATAATTATGATTATCCATTTGAATGCAAACCGGCAAAAATAATTTGCACATATCTTCAACACACCATATTGTTGACTGTACTTTGATATAAGAGTCCTTCACATTCATAATGAGCTGTACCAGATTCAAAGCCAGGGCCGGCAAAATCTCAGAAAATTGTACTTGTCCACGGACAAGTAACCTAAGAAATTTACTTGTCCGTACTCAATGTTCACTTGTCCGTATTTATATTTAATATTTACTGCAAATGTCAATAAAAAGAGCAATATGATTATGAACTTTCTTTCAATTTTATTAAACATTCTATGCCATATGTTTAATAATATAATATATTATGATTGTAATATAATATATTTATAAAATGTTAACGGCAGTAGATTAAAGTAGAACGACAGTGATGGACAAATTGTGTATATTTTACTGGAAGGAGCACATTGGTCTTTGCCAGCACTTTTTCAGTTTTCCTTGTACCCAAATTGCTCTAAAATATTTTCTTCATTGTTTTGCACTCTGGTATCATTTCTTATTTATTCACTCCTTATTCTATTCATCTATATAATATTCATTTCAATGATTTGAATCCTTTTAAAAAATCATATGTACTCTTGAGTTTAGATTTGTCAAATTGATGACATCTGGCTTTTTTTAACGATTATAATTATGATTGCCACAGAATGTAATATCATATACGTACGTATATACGCTTGGTTGCAGCGGATGAATTGTGAAAATTTTTGACATCATTACATCGGCGACGATGAAACTGACATGTATACATTAACACCAGTATTAGACATTTCAAAAACAAAGGCATTTTCACAAGAAATCTTTACATAAAATGAATTATAAAATGACTTTGTCCACATAAATTCAAGCAGTCAAATTGCCGATATGAGCGTAAATATTCCCGAATGACCTGGAAAAGCTATACTATGTATTTTAAATTTCATTCTACACAGCGGTATTTCAAAGACAATTGTTGCGAGATTGATGCTGTGTCCGCTATCTAAACAATAAATGCGAATTAAAAGAACAGCTTAATTCAATTTTATGGATAAAAAATCGTAGTTTTGCCTCCCAATATTTTATTGCAGAAGGTAATTCGGATTTATAAACCAAAACAAAATTCCCTCAATAATTAGTTATTTTGCCAGGTGCATTAAGCAGTAACTTTATGAACGTTACTGCAAACCCTTAACCTTGGTTCATTTATTAAACATGTAAAAATTTAACACTAATATGCACGAATGCCACCATTTCAAAAATCACAGTGCCAGTAGTTTTCGTAAAAATATGGCTTTTGCTTCTGATTTTTGATTTATTAGATAAATAATTTAGATTATTCTTTAAAATTTCCCATAGCCGGCAAAAATACTTTCCACTACCAAAACACCTTTATTTTACTGCACTGACTAACATCTTACATTCAGAATGAGCGACCAGTTTTTCCGGCCCTGAAAGCAAACAAGTACATTAAAGGCATTATAAAAAAGTTTCATCTCTGATAAGGATAGAAGAAACATAAAAGAATCAAGTTAAGATAATACAGGAAAAATTTTTGGGGAAAAATCATTTTGACAAGAATCTTAATGACATGCATGTACATAAATATTTATACTCAAAATAATTATACTCATTAAATTATTGTGTTAAACTTGTGTGAAAGTAGGTAGTTGTTTTCTTACTGTCAGATATGCATGTATGCTTTCATGCAAAGAGAAATGTAGGTAATGCGCTAGTTGTTCTTAGAATGGTAGTCCTACAAAAAAACTTTAAAAATAAAATTTCAAATTTTATTGCATGAATGTGTTTGACAAATAGAAAGACAAATGAATATTGCCATAAAAAAGAAGAAAAAAAGTTTTCATACACCATATTGCAAGGTTTTCAGGATTTGTGAAAGTCTGCTTTTATAACAGACATAAGAGCGTTGTGCTTTGATTCTTGTGCAATAAATTTGTTTGTTTTGTCATGCACATGTTGCAGTGGTTTATTGCTGGTATTGAATCTTGTTTGCTACGCAGTTTGCTTGAAATGTGGCATTTCATTGGTTTTTAGCTAAACTGAGCACAGCATGCTTAAGGTGAGCTATTGTGATAGGGCTTTGTCCATTGTTCATTATGTGTTATCAACTTGAATTATAAATAACATTTCCGAAACTTCTTGACCAAATTTGATGAAACTTGCTATGTCAATTAATATCTGTCCTGTGCATGTCAGGGTCAGAGGAGCTAAAAATAGATTTTAAAAATGCATACTTGCAAAAAATTTCTCCAAAAGCCAGAGCTTAGATATTTGGTGTGTAGCATCTTCTTATGAAACTGAACCAAGTAACAAAGGGTCAAAAAGGCTCAAAAACATTTTCTTAATAACCATAAAGCCTAGAACTTAGATGTGTGATGTGTAGCATTACCTAGTAGACCTATACCAATTTTGTTCAAATCATGACTAACATGGGGCAATAGTAAATTTTTACATAGTCTAATAATAGTAATGGAATGCCTTATCTTAGAGCTTAGATCTTTTGTGTATGGCATTTTCCTCTACAAAAAATTGCTAAGAATGTTTTAATCTGCTGAGCAAAATTGCTCTTGAAATGAAAATAGAAATTTTAGAAATAAGCTTTAAATGACAGCTTCTCATGAGCCAGGTAGATTTTGATGAAACTATAGGAATTATCAGTTAATGTGATCTTTAACAATAACTGTTGAATTGTTCAGGTCTACCACAGGAGCTGAAAATAGAAAAACTGTTGGAGAACATGTCCTCAATGGCTTGGTAGATAATTTTATGAAACTATAGGTAAAATTGTGTTATGGTGCTTAATTTTTTGTGCTTATAAAAAATGCTTAACTTTTTTCAAGAGGTGTGCCAGAGCTAAAAATAGAGACACAAATTTGAGACATCAACTCCTAAATTGTCATGTAAATTTTGATGAAATGCAAATGGAATTACATCCTTTGGTAGTCATTTACAAAAATTACAAAAACATCATGACAGTCTGCTGAACAAGATGGCTTCCTATGAGCTTTATATACAAAAAAAGCTTTAATGATATTTTCACCTCAGCCACTTTGCATATTTTAAAGAATTGAGATAGGAATGACCTAATAATGATATTTTCTCCATGTAAATCATTTTCCCAGGTGAGCGATTAAGGGTCATTATGGCCCACTTGTTTATAATCTGAGGCGCAGGGCAGATATATAAAATGCTAAAAAATTCTGCTTCAATTTACATAAAGAGTAAATTTGAATATCTGACACTTATGTATAAATTGTGAGAGTAAACAGTTTGTATTCCAGTCTATTTGTTGAGTGTTGAATGTACAATACTGTATAATACTGAACCAACATTGAATAAGGCTTTCAATTGCTTGTAAACCAATAACTTATGTAGCATTCACCAAATATACAGATCTAATGATTGGTGTAATCTAAGCATTGATATTTTTATAGAAATCTGCTTATTGATAACTGTATTGACATTTTTATAAACACTTAAGCTTTTTAATAAGAGCAAAATTGTTCAATAGCCAGTTACTGGGCCAGTTATTACAAAATGTATAAAGACAAGAAACTAAATATACCAGCTTTTCATTAATGATTTAAAGAAAGTTCTTCTAAAGAAGATGGAATAAATATACAAAGAATAGAAAAATTATACAATAAGAATTAGAGGGCCTTGTGCAAAATGGTTATTTCTCCGGAATAAAGAATATAATGGGTTTTTCCAAGCTAATCCGGTGGAACAAACAAAATTTTACAGTTACAGCTTCGAAAATAAGCGCAACAGGTTGACTTATCTATTGTGACCGGTTGTACAATTTGAAGCTATAACGGTGAAAGTTTGCTTGTACCAGGGGATTTGCATGGAAAATTTTACATTTGCTGAGTTCTGGATAACATCTATTTTTGCGGAGCATATCATCTAATTTGTTATTTTATGTGAAATAAAACATGATTGAGATTATCAAAGTCTGTCAGGCCTATGTAGAAGTTGCAGGTTTCTAGTGAGTCAGGGTAAACATTAATGAAGAATATTAATTGAATAGTGTCAATTGATAATACTTAGTTTAAGTTACATTTAAACAACTGAAAACAATCATTTTTATAAAAATTTATATTAAATTTTCAGAATATCAAACACAAATGTGAACCCTGGACTAGCTCCCCTGGTAGAGCAAAATGAGGAGGTTGCTAATATTGATGAACTTCAGCCAATGGACATGGGGGAACCCTTGTATGAACCTCCAGCAGGTATAGATGAGGTCCCTCAAACACAAAATTTGAACACACATGAAGGTATGGAAGGTAAGAAAATATTGGAATAGTATTACACCAGGAATAACTTAACTTGTTCTTAATGGCTTGGATCTAGATATTTTAGCCTAATATACTAGTATGAAAATGATAAGTTTGAAATGTTTATTTTGATATTATACAATGTAAGCTTGTAAGGAAAGAAAATGCTTAAAGTAAAGAAAAAGTTATGATTTATAAGTGCTTTGGCATGGGTTTATCACATCAAAGACTCATTTTTAAAATTTCTTGGTTATTTTGAAAGCTTTAGAAATCGATGTTAAGTTTAGATTACATAATGATAAGAAGAGCTCATAAATTCAGCCTGTTGAATATTTAATTTTGTGCAAATATTTAAAGATAATGGAATTATGTATATTCCACTGTTTAAAGATGAAATATGAATGCTAATTGGAACATGTAATTGCTTGGATTGTCTCTATATACACTGGAGAGACAATCCTGATCAACGGCTGATAACATTTTGGTCGTTGTACGACTATCAGTAAGTCATCAGCAAATGACAAATATTTTACAATCAGAGAATCAATGCCAGTCAGTCATATAATCTATTTACAGCTTTAGTCTGTTGTAATATTCAATAGTTTTATACTGTTTATTTACCTACCATAGACGATAGAATACAATATTTATTGTTTTGATTACAGTCACAAAATATAAAATGTTATGTCATATTTAGACAGATATTTGGTTGGTCTGTAACTAGGCAATTATAAGATATATATTTGTAGGGTCATTAATTATTAAATCATCAATTATCTTAATACGTTTATTTAATATAAGGGTGTAAAGGGTCAAATGGTCCTATACATTATGAATTCTTTATTGTGTTTTAGACTGTCAAGTAATTTACTAACTTAGGTGCCAGTCTTAGCATGGATTTTTATGATTGGTCAGTTTCAAAATTGATTAGTTTCAGAAATCAATCAGTTGCTTTGGTTTCAGGCAATTCTGTTGCATAGTCTGTCCATCAGCATCTCTTTGTCCATCTTGATTTACTTTAATCTTAATCCTTACCTCATTTATTTGATACTGCCTTTATTGCCCATTAAGATTTTTTCCTTTAATTTTAAATTAAGGCTGACAAAATATGTTGATGCTTTATGTAAGTTTGAAAGTGACAAAAGATAATGATATTTTAAGTTCATGTAAGTTAGAGCTGAAAGGGAAAGTCTTATTGAAGCTCATATTAGTTTAAGGCTGACAAAATGATATTTGTATCAGCTGAAATTTACAAGGAAAAATATTTAGTTTAACATTAGTTCGAGACTTTAATTTATGGTTGACATTAGTTTGAGGCTTGAATTTTAGGTTGACATTAATTTGAGGCTTTGATTTTAGGTTGACATAAATTTGAAGCTTGAATTTTAGGTTGACATTAATTTGAGGCTTTAATTTTAGGTTGACATTAGTTTGAGGTTTGAATTTTAGGTTGACATTTGTTTGAGGTTTGAATTTTAGGTTGACATTAATCTGAGGCTTTAATTTTAGGTTGACATTAATTTGAGGCTTTAATTTTAGGTTGACATTAGTTTGAGGTTTGAATTTTAGGTTGACATTTGTTTGAGGTTTGAATTTAAGGTTGATATTAATTTGAGGCTTTAATTTTAGGTTGACATTAATTTGAGGCTTTAATATAAGGTTGACATTAGATTGAGGCTGACAGAGTATGTTGATTTATTATAGGTGCAGACATGTTTGATGTTGATACTGAAGCAGCTATCAGACATATTGATATGGAAGGTGATCGTCCAACTCTTGGTCAAGCTGGCCCAGCAGACACAAACATTGCTTATAATAGTATGGACTTTGAAACTAAACCAGGTAGGCAATGACAAGCTTTAACTTAACCTTTATAAGGTATTTTAGTTGTAGGACACAAGAGGTATTCATTAGTAATAGAGCTTTAGTATTGTTCAAGCTACTAACATTGTAATAGGAGCTAAAATATAATTGTTGAATTCTATCAGGAAACTGCTTTTTAAAATTGCATGAAAAGAGTTTGTGTTTTAAATATAAAGAATGGAACACATGATCAGTATAAAAGAAGTGCCTTTAGCTGCAGATTAAAGATTTTTCTTTGAATATTTTCAAAAGGATAGTTTTAAAAGTTATATTCAAAAACTTGTTTATATGTCTGGAATGTGATTTCAAAGAATTACTACAAGTTACCTTATTATTTCTTGTTGAAATAGTTGCTGTTATTAAAGTAAGTTGCATGCCTTGTTACACAAGTGTATAAAAAAAAGTTTGTCATCGACGAACAAAATGTGTCTGACTCACACAGATGATTGTTTAAGCTCAGAAGCATTTTGTACTGACATGATGAAAAAAGACTGTTGTTCTGAAAAAAAGACTGTTGTTCACTTTTCAAACTATCATATTGTTCTTGATTTCATTACATTTTATTTGTTGTCATGTTTTTTATCACATTGTCATGTTTTGGATCACACTGTTATGTTTTTTTCACATTGTCTTGTTTTGTTCATATTCTCATTTCTCATTCTCTCACAAACATTAATTCCAGTTTGTTTTTCAAGCAAATGTATATTTCATATCATAGAATGAATTAAACAGGCATGGTACTGACTTTCCAGCACAGAAAACAGTAAAATATTGATGTCGAAAAATTCACATGTTTTGAACCACATTGATTTGAGAAATCATTTTTCTGACATCATCTGACGTCACATGAAGTGAAAGCTGTCTTTCTTTATGCCATAGATATATTGTGTAATAATGGGCTCAACTGCCTTGGCGCTTTAATAGGTGTGTTAGAATATCAAAAAGTTATCTACAAAATAGAGTGTGCATGCACTAACATGCAAAATGTATATAATTATGAACTATACAAAGGGTATTGTTTTGTTAAATTCTGTTAATAAATTGTGATAATAATGTTGCATGAACAAAAATTGTCCTGAACAAGGGTTATGATATACCAGTAATTATTAAGCGATATGGACATGAAGTTACAAACATTATATTACCCTTTTAGCTGTATCATACCGGTTTCTGCCAGAGTTAGCAGATATGCCAGATTGTAAGTTGTTGATGCTGGTTTTACATCATTCTTTTTTTCTGTTTCCTGCTTCCTTAACAAAACTTGTTGTTAAAGTTTATCCTGTGTAAACTGTGTCTGTTGTTAATGTGGCAATTTTTCCATCTGTTCATTTTTTCTAAAATGATTCTTAAATAAAGTACATGTATTAAACTTAAAGTTGATTTACACATCACAATATTAAACAAGCTGGTTTACTAGGAAAACTGGGTCAAGGTCACTTAAAAATCACTTGTAACAAAAATGCCTCATAGAGATGTCTTACCTGAGTGCATAAGATGGATATATATTTTAAAGATTTTTATAGTACATGTATAATAAATATTTGATTTAAATCATTGTAAGCTCTGTTGCTGAAAAAAAAAAACAAACATCAATCATACCCTTTGATCCCATCTGGATCAGTTTATCCCATGGATTAATGGACAACATCTTTTTACCCCTCATATAGTTTATCCCATGGATTAATTTGCAACATCTTTTTACCCCTCATACAGTTCATTCCATGGATTAATGGACAACATCTTTTTACCCCTCATACAATTTATCCCATGGATTAATGGACAACATTTTTTACCCCTCATATAATTTCTCCCATGGTAATTTATCCCATGGATTAATAGACAATATTATTTTACCCCTCCTACAGTTTATCCCATGGATTAATGGATAATGTTATTTAACTCAAACAGTTTATCCCATGGATTAATGGACAACATCTTTTTACCCCTCAAGCAATTTATCCCATGGATTAATTGAGAACATCTTTTTACCCCTCAAGCAATTTATCCCATGGATTAATTGAGAACATCTTTTTACCCCTCATACAATTTATCCCATGGATTAATGGACAACATATTTTTACCCCTCATACAATTTATCACATGGATTAATGGACAACATCTTTTTACCCCTCAAGCAATTTATCCCATGGATTAATGGACAACATCTTTTTACCCCTCATACAATTTATCCCATGGATTAATGGACAACATCTTTTTACCCCTCATACAATTTATCCCATGGATTAATGGACAACATCTTTTTACCCCTCAAGCAATTTATCCCATGGATTAATGGACAATATTTTTTTGGTGAAGGAATACAATTGTTGTTTGTTGTTAATAGTTATAATATCTGTTTTTAATATCTACTATGTGACCTTTTTCTCGCCTCTTTTGTGCTTTTTGTTTTGTACATTTTTTTCTTTGAGCAATAAAGCTGTATTTGTTATGTTTGCAGTAATCTTTGAGCAGTTGGACTGTAAGACAACAGTTTTTAAAATTTGTAAAATTTTTGCATTGATGTTTAATTGCTGGATTATTGAATTTACTTTCATTTAGCTGAAATGTTTAATTCCATATAAAATATATTGTTTCTCTTACCATACTTCATCTTTAAAGTTGTTGAAAACTTTTTTCATTCATAATAAAAGCCTCAGCTCCAGATTTTATCAATGAATTATATATCTATAGAATTGAACAACTTAAAGAACTATGGTATGAATATGTAATTTAGGCTTTCTTAAGTAATAAGTATATAACTAGTGGGATTTAAATAAGGGTGAATTAAAACATATGTGAAAGATACTCTCGGAAATCAATAAATTACATTTTTATAAAAAGACCATTTTGATTATTACTATACATGTATTTACATGGATCTGCTATGTTCATAGAGAATATGAAATCAGTCATTTTGTTACTGTATATTTATTATTCTTTTGTTCTTAAAACAACAATAAGTGCTCCTCCAGGAATCATAAAATAATGTTTTTCTCTCAGAGTTTACAAATCGTGTAAGCTTTATCAAAGCTTGCTTGAAAAGGCCTTCCTACAGTATTGAATTAATTAATAAATATTTGATTAACCTGTTATTTACTAGTTAGGATCACACGTCCAGTAAATACAAAAGGAATACCTTTGGGAAATCTATCTTTGAGGCCAATGTTATAGCAACAGTGAATAATTAATATCACTAAGTGCGGTATTTAAGAAAGAGAGACAAGATACTGTTGAGTGCTAAAGTCTTTATCAAAAAATTGGTGCATTTATTTGCAAACGTGCACTGATGTGATAGACTTTGTATACATACACTGGGCAATGATTTTCATTCTCAAGTACACTAGTTGATATTGCCGGCTTATTTCATGCATGTGATCGGTAAAAATAGAGAGTAAATGTCAAGAATGCTTGAGACTGTCTTAAATATCAGTAAAAAGTACGAGGAATGTTAAAATTAAAGTGAATGCTAGAGCAAATCTTATGTAGTTCCAAGTCGATCTTATACAATTGTTGTCTTATCAAAGTCCATACTGTCGCTGTTAATATTGAAATCCAATAGGTTTGCAATGGTTAGTTACCAATTTAGGATATGATGTTAAAATGTTTTGAAATCAGCATAAAAAATCAGACAAATAAAAATCAGACAAATAAAAATCAGACAAATAAAAACTAATTTTAATAGGGCAATCACATATATGATATTGCATGATAATATTAGAATCAAGTAAAACTGAATCCCTAAAGAACGCCCAAAACGACAAAATTGAAAAGGATGCAGGCTCGATTTGAGCCTGTTCATGGATGGTACTGGAAAGTCATATTTTCATTCAATTTAAATTTTTTTTTTGGCAAATATGCATCCTCAAACTTCAGCATTGACTGTTTTCTTATGGCATATTTTGCAAGTTAAAGATGAAATCTTATTCATTTCCTAGCAACCATTAGATCAGCAATTATGCACGAAATCTCTTAATGACAATTTTCTAGGAAACAAGACTTCATTAGAAATTCAAATCTCTGTAGAATTAATTGGCTTACTCTACTTGATTTTCCATCTACTATATTTTTATCTGATAGCAGATTGTCCTAGTTCACATCTGAAAATTTGTAGAAACAACTATAGTCTTGGAAGTAACATGCAACAAGACAGATGGGCTTTCATTGGTTGCTAGGGACTCGTTGCATGCTGATGGTTGCTCAGGAAAGGAGGAAAGTCTGACTTTTACTACTTAAGCTCATTAGGACTAAAAAACTGATGTGTTAACATTATGTGACAATAGAAGATGCTTCATTAATTGGTTTTAGAGATTCTATCAGACAGGCTTGATTAACTTCTTAGAACTTTTATTTATCTCGGATAATATATCTATTGGCGTTAGATTTTTTTCCCCTATGAAAAAATTACACATTTGTTTTAGGTATACACGGTGAAAAATGTTCTTGGAATAAAGGACTTAAATTTAAGAAGATTTTATGGAAAAATAAATATTTTTGAGAGAGATATTCATATTTTAATTAAGAAATTTATGACTATAAAATTGATTTGTTTTCCCTGATAGTTTGACTCTAAAATCCTTTTAGAAAAAAAAGCACTCCAAAAAAAACACAAAAAAAAACAAAAACTAGAGCCTTTACCTAATTGTGTAAGTGAGGAATAAAGATACTGTGTAACAATGCCAAGATCTAGGGGTAGTGTGGACTTGAGTTTTAACTATTTACCCATGATAAATAAGGATAGACCTATAACTGGATTAAGATTTAATCATTATGGCATACAATCAGGACTTAGTCAATCATGGGGTAAGTCTTGTTTGATAAAATGATTTTAAACTGTTTCTGCTTCTTTAATAAAATTAATAAGCAAGGACAGCCCTATTCTTTTATCTGACCGTTTTTTACTCTTATGTCCAGGTCCTTATCAATTTGAGGTTTGAAAGTCTTCGAAAACAAGGATTTAGTCAATTACATTGAAGTTAGATAAATAAAGGTTAAAATTTATAAAAATTTGATGTTACAATATGATTGCCCAAAGATTCATAATTCTTAACACTGTTGAATTAAAGAATGTAAAAGCAAAAAAAATTTATAAAAAATGTAGCCCGGGGTTCTATGATATTCACGGTACTTAACCATTTTATCGGAAAATATTAAAATATAGATATTATAAATGAATGAATATTTTTCTTCCATCTTATAATTGAACCTTTCCGAACTGTTTGTCAAAAAATTTTATTTCAAAAGAACCCAATAAAAATGACATTTTTTAGAATATTTTCGAATGTCTGCCATTTTGGGTAATTTCAGAGGGAGGTTCCTACGGTATCAAGGTAATCCCCAAAAAAGCAAGTAAGGAAGGATAGATGGGTCAAAACTTTACAACTTTTTGT